GGGAGCACTAGCAAGTCTGAGGGAAAACAAACTCTGTATGAAGAAATATGCTGTCAAGAACAAATCAAAGAAGGGCTTATAGGCAAGACATAAGAGTTACTCAACTGAGATTATTTGATCACTTATTTTTCAAGATGTTGAGGGTGTTCACATTCTGACATTACCTTTGGATAAATAAAGCATTCCCAATGCACCTACATCTGTATTCTTTATCTCAGAAATATCTGAGCTCAGAAATATCTGAGCAAAGTGGTTGAGCTTCCAAGCTGTTTCATTTCTGAAGCAAGCACTATTAATAACTAACATAAAAACATTCTAGATTATGACAAAGGCAAGGAAGTAGATTGTTGGAAAAAAAGCAAGTTCAAAATATTCTCATATTCTCATACATCTACATTAGGTAGTAAGAGTTCAGAGACATTAATATCAAATAAAATTTTCTGCTTAGAAGACCTTTGAGATATGTAGAAATTCAATATATAGTCATCATCATCAGAAGTTCCATGCATACCAGTTGTGGTGACCCACAACTAAATAAAGTCTCTCTGAAGATTCTGTTTCTTCTAGGCAGGACAGAAGAGGCATCATGTCTACCATTATAAGATGGAAAAATGCATCTTTCCTCAGTCATTTTCAGTGGTCTAAAGCTTACTGACTATTTCTGGTTTCTAACTAATTGAAGCCTGAAGGTATATCTATAGCACAATGTACTGCTTCAAGTATATCTTCCACTCAAAACGAGATGTTTTAAGAACAAGCAAAACCACCGAATTACAGGAAAGGAACTACTAAGTCACAGAAAGTCACTTTTTGAAACCAGCTCAATTACAACAATAGAACACTTTCATGAGCAAAAAATATGACTTTCAAAATACAAAGTTCAGAAGAGAGTATTTTCTTGTTCTCTGGTGCTTTAGCCATTGCAGAAATCTAGGGCTTTTTCAATGTAGCCCCCCCTTTTGTCAGGTGCTTTACTGACTGTTTTCTTCTCTAGAGCTGAAGGTAAAAAGAGGTCTCTGTGAGGAAGGCAGGCAGGGTTCACTTCTTTCATGTGTCAGAAGTAAGGAGATAAATATGAGAACAAGGAGGTGGAGAACAGGACATGGATGAGCTTCTTGGCATTGTAGGAGTAGCACCCTTTACTAGAAAACAGTTGTATTTCCATTGTTTTTCTAACTGCCCTCTGATGTCTGAGTCTGTCTAACAGAGAGTCCAAGATGTCCATACTGTGGATGAAAAGTGGAAAAGGACCAAGGAGCAATCATGAAGAAAACAACTGATAGGGAAAATATTTGGATGAGAGAAGAAAGTAGTGGGTGAAAAGAGTGAAACACATTTGAAGAAAGTGGAAGAAACTGACCATTTATTTTCAGAAGGATAAAAGGAATTACACACTTACTAAGAAAACAAATTTATATAAACCTTAAACAAGTTAAATTGTCTCATTTTTGAGATCAGATATCTTTTTGTGACAACTAATAGGTAATATTATAAAGATGCTCTATGCTTGAAATAATCCTGAAAGACTGAAGAAAGCAAGATTTGAGGTTGAGGAAAATAAAGCTAAATTTTTGAAGGGGCAAAATTAGGTTTTCAATATATACTTGAATCATGAGATTTCCTTCAAGAAACTAATTAAAACATTAGTAAAAAAAACTGAAGGAAAATATAATGTATCCAAGATTTTTAGGTCAGCTATTTTGACACTTCTTTTTCAGGGTTTGGTGCTGAATTTATGTGGTAGTGTTATCTATACTACTAGACTACCAGAAGACTGAAATGTATGATGCATCTTCTCCTTATCAGGAGGTAGCAAAAGTTTGAAAATTTTAATATCAGTCTTCATGTCAGCAGCCATTTCTGAACAGAGACACTGATGCTTTATGTCCACAGTTTTCTTCTCAGAAATTGTTATACTTTGCAAGGTGGAGCATTGAAATAATTTTAGGTCTTTTTATGCAAATTTTACAGGGAATTGAAAGAAGGGGGTTCTGTTTAAAAACTGATGCTAAAATATAACTTCAAACACAGTATAACAAAAACTCTGACAACCCTTATTTTGCAGTTACTGGGAACTCAATTTGTTATACTAGATTAAAAAATACTCTGTAAGAATAGAAGAAACCACTTGACCACTTATCCACAGACATCAAATTCTACTCTGCTACCCATGTGCAGAAATCAACAACACACTTTACTGTAGCATATTTTCTGCAAAGGCCCCAGAAGACGCAACACACTTCCCTGGGTAGACTAACTCTAATTATTAATTAACCTCTAGGAGAAGTACCTGCCTTGAGATTCCAGTTATTTGTTTACTTACTTCTTCCTTTATCCCATTTATGACCTCTGCCTCTATAAAAGTTAGATCTATACCTTAACAGGCAGCATTCTACATGCATTAAAAAAAATTAGGCTTTTTAAACAAACCACTTCTCTATCTTCTTTTTGATAAACTATTCTAACTGAGCCCTGATGGTGTCTTTATAAGGACTTCTCTGCTCACTTTCCAAGTTCTCAGTTTCTCCTTAAAGACATTCAAACTTAAAAATGTGTCCAAAAATTGTAGAGAGTAATGTATCATTGGTCTCATCAATTTTGAACTGATAGTCAAAATGACCTCTTTGTGTCCTTTTGTACATTTAACTCAAATATAAATCATTTTAGCTGTCTTAAAATGCTTCTCCACCAAGATTAGTAGATAACTCGGAGTCAGTGTTTTCCAGGATATTACTCACCATTACATAGATTTGCCCATGATTTGGTTTCATTAAAACAGACTTTATTTAGAATGGATTCTACTTTTCAAGTGATCTAACTGTCTTTAGGACTGGTCTTATCACCTTTTCACAGTTGCCTTTTTTTTCATCAGCAAGGTTATGTTTACTGCTGCTATGAAGGAATTTAATTAATTCCAGAAAGACACAATACATAAAGACACTGTAAAATATAACTAGAAATTATCAAAGCTCTGACTTCAGTGAGATACTGTCATATTTTGCTGAAATGATGTCTCTTGTCTGTTTCTGCTATTTCATTAAGAAGAACATACATGCCTCTCGACTACATCTCCTAGTCTGGGGGACAAGAGATAATGTTTTGGTTTTTACACAATGCTGAAATCTCAAGGGCTCAGCAACAGTAAAGGATAGCTAACACCCCCACTTGTGCTCAGATCTGTGCATCTCTCAGGTCCAAATTCCTTTACAAATAAAATAGCAGCATCCTCTGATCTCCTCAATAATCCCAGCTGTTTGCTCTAGGGGGTTTTGAAAATTCATTTGACTACTTTGACAACAGAAAGTTTGACTGCCTTTGAATCTGCTTTCAAAGACAAAGTTATACAGGTCAAGCTATTGCCCATGGAGTATTCTAGTTAGTTTGACAATGACGGATACCCTTCATGACCATTTCCCAGATCCCTTATGCCTATACTTCGCAACTGTCCTTAATGATGAATGACACTCATCTGCAATGAATGACAATTTTTCAGTACTCTCATCCCCAAAGAAATGGCATTATCATCGCATTTTCTTGCTATAATTTATCAGACTGAAAAAATACAGTCTCTGATTACTGGGTTCTTTATTAATGTAATAACTTAAACAAATACCATTTTATGTGTTTTGAAATACAGACTGGAAGTATATCAAGTTCTTAGGTAGAATATACTCTGTCTTCATTACTTTAGGAACTGTAAATCTTACTTTTTAATGAAAATTCAATGAGGAGAAGACAGACTGTTTTAATTTGAAATTAGTTCAGATGTCCTAGCTGTGCCTAGAAGAAATAAACAAGCAACTGTTATAAAAGAAAGGAATATTCAAAATTATTTTGAATTTAAGTCTCATTCTCGCCACTGACAGGAGTGGCAATTTTATTTGCTTAGTGAGGTTTTGTTTAAGTTTGATGCAGTTATATCTTCACTGATTCAACAGGGACTGAAGTAGCCCAGCGAAAAGACCCTCCAAAAAAGTCATCCAGTCAAATTTGCACTTTGTGAGAAAAGGTGTCACCTTAGGCCATGATTCTTGGCAATGATTACTTATTACTGGCAGATCCAATCGAATTTATCTTAACAAATAATGCAAGCTTGGCTCAAAATTGTTATTTCTGTTACTGCAACATTGAAGGTCCACAGAACAGGATTTCTCTATGCCTGCGCCTGTGTTCTCTAGAAAGAAAACAAAAAGGACTGCATATAGAACAGAATGTGTGACATCTAACGAAAGAAAACTATAATCTAGACATTGATCTTCAAGTGGAAAGAAATATGATGAGTATAGAAGCACAAAAACCCCATGAAGGATAAGAAAATATTCAGCAGCTTGACATAAGAGAACATGAGTCTTGTGCTGAGCAATGGCATCACATTAGTGACTTATAGAAGAGTTTTTAAAGGAGAACAAACTTCCTGAGTTTTCAGAAATGTTAGCAAGGACCTCCTCCCAGGCTTGCAGGGCAGGAAAATAGAATGAAGGAATTTGTTTTAAAACAAACACATATGGGAACCTAAAATAGCATGCCACTGGAGAGGACAAATGATCTTCTGCTATACGGGAACCAGCTCTTTTTTTTTTTTTTCATTTGCACGCAGATGAACACAAATGCACCCTTCTAGTAGCTTATAGATTTTATATCTGTGGTATATCTCAGCAATGTTTATCCATTGTCAGTATGAAACAAAGAGAGTAATTAATTGCCAGGGACTGGTATGAAGCCGTAAGTTAATGCTGATGTAGTGAAGAAATACTAGTGTTCGTGTGTACAGAGAAGGGTAGGAAGATGACTGTGAAGTGATAGAGGTAAATCACAGCAGATGTATAAAAAACCTACTACCCAAGGCAGGTCACACACACAAAAATGGAACTACCATATGGTAGCAGGCAGTATTCTCCATTTGCTTGTGCATTCCTCAACTTTAGGAAAGTCGTGCATGTTTATATTTGCATTTGTGATCTTTTTAAATGCAGTTGCTTCAGAAGTAATTTTTTACTTACAGACTGATTCAATACAATTTTTATGGTCCTGGTGTGCTGCCTGTGGAATGCAGGGCATCTTCTCTGAGTCTTGCAGAAGCTTCAGAAACACCTTTCATGAAACAAGAAAAAAGTAATTTAGAATCCATTTTCTAAAAACTATTTTCCCTATATATATATATATATATATCCCAAACCATCCAGACTGTCAGAAATTCGTAGTGACTGCTTCAGCCACCCTGATGGAATACGACTATAAAATTAGTCAAGCTGGAGATCCTGGGGATAAGGGGAATGAAATAAATGCCAATAGATACAAAAGCACCTATGCAAAGAATTGCTGACCCATACGCACTATTATCTGCAAAGATTTTTCAATAGGCTGTCTGCCCTTGATTGACTTTTTATGTTCCTAATCTGTGGTATGTGTTAGAACTCAGTTACTGCAGTTTTTACGAAGGACATATCAATAGCTTCAACTCTCTTCTGATGTTCCAGCTAGAAATCTGTGGGCACAACAAGAACTCCTACCGTAGAGTTCTAATTATGATAGTACAACTAAATCTAATGTACAAAATCCTGCAGAAGTGAGAATCTACAGAACCTGGGGAAGATGTAGTGTCTAGGGACACTCAGGACATGTCCCTAGATTGTGGGCAAGTACATGGGCAATAATGTTATTGAAAGACATTTAAAGGACAATACAATCATCGGGCACAGCTAATGTGAACAAAGTCCTGTAAAACTAATACTATGGAGAGGAGTGGTCAACAATGTGTGTTTTGTAGTAAAACAATAAGCATGCATACCCCAAACTGGGTGAAGATGATACAATCCTGTTACCTAAAATCACCACGGAAAAAACTGAAATTGTTTTTTTATGAAAGCAACAACCTAAAAATCTGCACTATATTAAAATTCAATGGATTGAATCTTCCTAAGCAGGGGAACACACATCAGAAGGCAGTCATAGTTGACACTATAAAAACCCAGCAGAATTCACCAACTTTATAATCGTGAGATCTATTTAAATGGTATATATACTTTGCCAAACAGATTTGTGTTCTAGCTACTATTTCTTGCCTAATCCTATTTCACAGTTCTGTCCACTTAAAGCCCTTTGAATTGCATAGACAGACATTTCATTTTCAGTCCCTTAGCCTTGCAGAAACTTAGAACAGCTTTCAGAGTGAGCCTTATTCACACACCCCCACTTCTTGTAAGCTCAAATGAAAAACAAAATTAAACTTTTCTCATCTTAACCTGAACTGCAATTTAAATAGTGAACTAAAAATTTCATATAAAAAGAAAGAAAAGAAAAATTAACAGAAAGTACAGGTACCGTGAGCATCTCCAATTGAACAGCAAAAGCACAACCAAGTTTTTCTTTGTCTTGATGAAAGTCTTGCTTTTTCTTTCTGTTTGAGTTGAGCTGCAAGACTTAGATTATACCCACAGTGCAACTTTCAGAAATCATTAAGAAACCATTTATTTCTTCCCACAAAAGAACCTGATATCAGCTATAACAAAATACTCCTTGTTTCCAAGGAGCTCACACAATAGACAATAAAAACCAGTCAATGTGAAGTACTTTATAGCTGTTGAAAGATATTTCTTGGCTTGCTAAGGTCTGACTGTTACATAAACCATATTTTGCTTAGTCAATATAATTGCCATTTAACAGTGGTTATTGATTGTGTTTGTTACTTGCGAACTTTCAGGGCACACTTTTGGCCATTAACAACTGCAAGGCCAGAAATTTCTGGACTGACATTTCTGTATTAGACCCTGGAGGCAGATCCTGACAACCTAAAGCCACATTCTAATTTGTTGCCTTGGAGCCATTTGCTGATGGCTCTGCAGACTAGTTCTGTCAAGCAAACCAAACCAAACTGAAGCAACCGAATCACAGAATATGAATCACTGAATAGCCTGGGTTGGAAGGGACCTTAAAGACCATATAATTTCAACACCACTACCATGGACAAGCATAGCTTTCACTAGACCAGGTTGCTCAGAGCTCCATCCAGCCTAGCCTTGAACATTTCCTAGGATAGGGCATTCACAGCTTTTCTAGGCAACCCATTCCAGTGACTCATCACCCGCACAGAATAGAATTTCTTCCTAATATCCAATCTAAACCTACTCTCTTTCAGTTAGAAGACATTCCCCCTTGTTCTGTCACTATATGCTCTTGTAAAAAGTCCCTCTCCCTCTTTCTTGTAGGTTCCCTTCAGGCAGTGGAAGGCCACAGTTCAGTCACCTCAAACTCTTCTCTGCAGGCTGAACAAATCCAACTCTCTCAGCCTTTCCTCGCAGGAGAGGTGCTCCATCCCCCTAATCATCTTGGTGTGCCTCCTCTGGACTCGCTCCAACACGCTGATGTCCTTCCTGTGCTGAGGACCCCAGAGTTGGATACAGTCCCCTAGGTGGGGTCTGACCAGAGAAGAGTAGAGCGGCAGAATCCCCTCCCTCGACCTCCTGCCTATGCTGCTTTTGATGCAGCCCAAGGGTACAATTGGCTTTCTGGGCTGCAGGCACACATTGATGGATCATGTCCAGCCTCTCATCCACCAGCACGCCAAAGTCCTTCTCAGCAGGGCAGAAATATTTCAAGGAGGTATATGGCTTTCCCTGGAAAGGTTTGAGGCAAACTCTAAAGTCATTTCAAGGAAAAGAAATTAAAGTAGTACTCAGTTAACAAATTTTAACGCATCTTATTTTGTGAAGATATTCAATCATTTTGTTCTCTCCTCAAAGAAAAGCAAGAAAGCAATAACCTTTGAAATCTCCAGAGCTGCCAGAAAGTAAAACAGCATCCTCCAGACAGCTCTTAATGTGCACTTAATTTAATTATCCACCCCTCTATCCTTCTTTTGTTTCTGTTAACATTTTGGATTACAAACATTATAAAATACACAGATACAAATGGTTGGAAAAGATATCTAAAGCCTAAAATGAAGCAAATATAATACTAGTGAGATTTGAAAGTGTCAGAACTGATTCCTTTGAAATATGAATGGAAGTCCAGTTTCCCTTGGAGAGTATGATTTTTAGAGAGTGTGAGCGTCCCTTAGACTGAAAAAGAATAATGGTGACTGCATAAAAGAACAAAAAGAAAGGATAAAATAAAAATTATAACATATTTCTTCCTTTGAATTCAAGGTTCTTTTTTTCCAGATTGAATTCCTTGAATAGAATGAATAGTGCTATTATATGCCATCCATTTAGTTCCCAATGCAAAGAGGCTTTTGATAAGGGAATGGAGAATTGAGGCTGTAACAACAACTAATGAGGAGATGCAAAGATGACAGAAATCAACCCAAACTAATTCATTAAATCTTCAAGTTTAAGAGTGATACATTAATATCTAATACAACATTTAAAGCAGTTTTTAAATGTCCCCTTCACAAGACAGCTGAAAGCAAGCTCTCAACTGAGCAATAGATTGAGCACACTTGGAAGCTTCCTCATATCAATGACAATTTCATATTTACTTTATACATGTCAGTTCTGGAAGGTCCTATGTTATTGCATGGAGATGTAATCCAAAAGTATTCTCAGTATCTACATTGTCTCCAAATCTATAAAGTTTGGCAGTGAACAGCATTCTTTCTTACTGCATGTTAATCACCCTATATAAGAAAATAACAACTTTTCGATAAACTTTTGACTTTCCCCATAGAATTGTATAGCAGGAATGTATTTTACTTCATAGCATTATGTAAAATGTTTATTAAACTTGTAAACTATGAAAACTGACATTAGTCTCCTATCATCACATGAATAAGTGATTTTTTTTCTACAGATCTATAATAGAGTACTTGAACAGTGGTTGTTTAGGGAATCTTGATATTTAGAAGTTACAGATGATGGGATAAATACAGTCCAAGGGAAATAACCTCACACTGATGTCGTGATTTACACAGGGGTAAATTCAGAAGTGATAAAGATGTATAATAGAGTCTCTTCCTCTGTTCATTTGGTACACATACACACACATACATGTGTATAATATATAAGTATGTATACATGTTCATGTATACATATATGAAAGTCTTTATCTCTCAGTATACACAGAAAATATTCTTTGGATATTTCACCACAATTTGGCTAAGTCCTAAGCTATAAAACTTGTAAACCAGAAACTATTCTCAGTAATGTTTTTTCTGCCAAAGAGCCACCTGAACTGAACTGATGCTACAGGCTTAGGACAACAGTTTTTCCCATTAAATCAATGACACTTGAAATTTCCTTTAGGTTAATGCAGAAACAAACATTTAAGAGTTACACAGGTTACATCAGTCTTCAAATCAGATTCTTGAAATAAGAAATATGTCATAGTAGAGTCGGTGCTGAAATTAATAGCAAAGCAAAACTATAAAGTATAGATTTTGCTTGATTTGGGTTTTTTGTTTTTGTGTTTACTTGCTTGCTTTTTTTTTTAGAAAACATGCTTCTCACAAGAAATTGTTGTGGAATGTGAAAGATACAATCAAGAGTAGCTGGAAGCTATCACAAAATTCTCTAAGCAAGAAAATATGATTACACAGAAAAACTACAAGTACCTCTTCCAAAGTTGTGTCAGAAATGCCATAGCCAGTCACATGTAGATGCTGAAGGCTTTGATCTAAAGCTTGAAAAAGACCTTTAAAAGAGGCCTTATCTGCCCTTTCTGGAATCACATAGGTCAGCTCAGTCCCACTGTTCTCTTTCAAGAAGGCTTCTGGAATATGAGTCTGTACCAGAGATGTGACCCGAACAATATGCTTAGGATCCTGGATTTCAAACATAGAGGGCTATGAGGGGAAAAAAGATAATTGTGCATAAAAATATTACCAGAATTATTGGACTTGATAGTCGAATTCATGCAGGAAAATTTCCAATAAGGAAACTGTGTCACAACTGGGATGCAGAGACTATTTCCCATGAATGAAGAACAGGGAGACAAAACCCTTTTCAGCTAATTACTGATATTCATCATTTTCAAAGATGTTATTATGTTTATCTAAATAACAATAATAATAATAACACCCACCCAAAACAACCAAGAAAGCCAATAAAAACAGGTTTTGCTGGCTCTCTAATAATCTATATCACGTATTACTTCCCGGCAGAGACATACACCTCCCTTAGAATATGCACAGCTGTTACTTGGCAGGCACGGTTAAATTCTGTATACTACATTTTTAATATACCTTTTTTATGAGCGTTAGACTGTGTCCCTGGCCGTATGTTTCTCTAAGATAAGAGGGAGAACCACAGCACCTCAGCTGGCCACGCTGCAGAATGGCAATGTGATCACTGAGCACCTCTGCCTCATCGAGGTGGTGAGTGGTAAAGATCAGTGTGCAACCTGCATCAGAAAGATTGGTACATGTTTACAAAACCTGGTTTCTAGAGAAACACCTCTTGCTTTCACAAGGGTCTTTAACGTTAAGGGAACGTGTTTTAGGAGTTTTCAAAACAGGACACAAACAAAACCTGCAGTCAGATTTACAATTTGAGTTAGATTCAGCTCTAAACATCCTTTGCAAGCAGTATCAAGCCATTAAAAGCTCCAGTTGTTTTAAGAGCATAAGAAATTCCTTAAAACGACATAACATCAGTGTCTGTTTCAATGGATCATTCACTGTTAATTATTACAGCCAATTGAGTGCTCGCTAGCTGAAGAGTTTGCTTCCCACAATCAATTTTTGACTTTTTGGCACCTAAAAAATTAATGTGGCAGACTTACTGATGAGTCTATTTTCATTAGAAGTATATATGCACTATATACTGATATATGCAAAATGGAAGTGCATCTATATACAGATATATGCAAGATGGGAAATGGAAACCAGAAAGCAATTTTGAGAAGCTGGAGAGAGGGGAAAAACTTCAGGACAGGTCTTAGAACTAGGTTCGATCTTCTTTTAGATTGGGCATCTTTCTGTGTGATAAATAATTCTTGTAATCTCATTTGGCTACCTTAAAGTTTTCAAATTCAATTAAGTGTTTCCTCAGAAATTAATGTATTTAATTTCTGATAATATTTCGGCTATATTTTGGCTATCCAGTTTAAATTGAGACAAAATTCCAGAAAGGAAAATAGGAAGCAAATTATGTGCATAAACTTTGTACCAGCTTTGTACTTCAGAAGAACATCCCAGATACCACGGCGAGAACATGGATCTACTCCACTGGTGGGCTCATCTAGAACAACTGTCTTTGAGTTTCCAATAAAGGAGATGGCAATTGACAGTCTCCTTTTCATTCCCCCAGAAAGAGCTCCAACAGGTTTGTACTGATGTTGGGATAAATTCACATCTTCCAGAGCTCTGAAATAGAAGTATAGAAATGGGACTAATTTTGAGAAAGTTTTTTCTGGTCACATCATGTCCAGTTAGAGAAGAATTACTGAAAAGTCACTGTAAATGGAAAGCAATAAAATTACTATGTCTGATTGATTATACACTTCGGTGTCAAAAACAAATAGGAAAACAAATATCTCTTCACCTACAAAGCATAAATGCTCATCATCATCTGATGCAAAAATTCTGGATAAGTATTTTGTAAGACAAGAACCAACAATTTTTAAATTAAGGTCAATAAAGTAAGTACCAATTTGTCCAAAAACTTTAGCAAACTCCAGATTATAGCCCCTTTAAATGACAGTAAAGACTGTTAGTTTCATAACTCAAGCAGCACTTCAGATTTTGCAACTACATGAAGAACCGTAGAGAATGCCTGAGTTTTTAGGAAATGTGTAGTTATTTGAGGTAAGTAAGGTAACACTGCAGCTTTTTTTCTTTTTCTCTAAGAAGATACGTTTCTGTGAAATAAACAGATTAGTGATCCCTAGGTAGATAAAACTACCTAATCTAACCTAATCTAATTCCTCTGTTAAGAACTGGGAGATACCTTACAAGATGTTGGGAATTCAGCCCTTGCCCTCTGATGATGATCTGGCATCTGTGTGGAAATATTCTAAATAAAGGCAGCACTATAACACCATTAATTTGTCGTTCATCACTCTGAACATCTAGTCACTGACCTAAGAGCTTTCAGCTGCTATCAGCCTGGCAAACAAGACATAAAAGGCTCAACAGTGCTGAACTAATCTCCTGAATCATTTGAGCGAATATGCAGTCTGTAAGCCATGCCATTTACCCTTCGAGATTTTCTCATCTTTAAGACAACAGGTTTCTATAATTGTTCTACAGATATATATCAAGGAAAATTAATCTCTTTAGAAGCCTGCTTCTTTTGCTAATAAAAGGAGAATTTTGTTTCATTCTTTTGTCGCTTTTCTAGTTTCTCTGAAGTCTTTTAAAGCACTTGTTGCCTTTAAAAATAATGCAATTTTTCTTAGTAGCAAGGCCTGCAGAGTCCTGAGTGTTCTTATGTGCCGCTAGTATGACAGACTGCTGCTGAAATTACAATTCAGCAGTCTAAGTACCAAAAAATACAGAATATTATTTTGCATAAATTTTAAACCAAGTACTGGGTTTGGTTTTTCTCTGTTATTCTAAAGAATTGTTTCTATTTTTTCTAGAGAGAATGTAGTGTCCCACATCAGAGTTTGTCCAGATCAAAATTTTAAAATAACAGGTTTTTATGATAGCTACCAAAAAGGAAAGCTACTCTGCCACAAATGCCTCTGCACATGCCTAATTGTACACTTAAGGAGTCCCATCAGCTAGGCGTTTATTTGCATTGAAGCATGGAAGCTTCACAGCACTTCACAGAGCCTATCATGAATTAGAAGGTAAAAAAGAAAGTATCTGCACTGCCACACTGTTAGAAAAGCTCCATTTCATTCCTGAGGTAGAGAAAATGCAGTTTGCTACTAGTGAACAAGATCTCAGCTTGTACAGTTTACAAGTAGTTTAATATACATGATGCAAAAATAAGATTTAGTCCTATATCAAAGAAGTATTAGCACAAAAACACTAGCAAACATTTTCAACCTGAGAAGTGACAAATCCTCTGAGGTAATGCAAGAGCTCTGATTCGGTTTTTCTATTGGATTGTTTGGTTTTAAACCTCTTGATTTACTAAAAACATTTCAAGGCTGGATTTGGCAATGGAAAACATGGCCTATTTAGAAAGATTGTAATGAAGACTGCCTTTGCCTACCTTTTCTTGTTTTCTAACCTTCCTTCCACTGCAGGTGAGGGAATACAGGATAATAAATATATAAATCCAGTGTTGATTTATGTAAAAATTTGGGGCAAGCACAGCAGTTTACTTTCTACCCTCCTCTCCAGCAAGGGGGGAGGCAAGGCAGACAGTATGAGGCAGGAACCACTGCAGCTGCTACAATCCTAACCATTCACTCCAGTCAAAACATCATTATTTGATGGTCCTGTATACCAGATTTTTAAACATTGACAGTTCCACTACAAATATATTCAAGTAAGGGTTAGACACTAGGAAATATACTTTCAAGGCATGACTTCAGAACACGAAATGTGATTAAAACTTCACAAATCCCTGAGGTTTCCATTAGCTTTTGCTCATAATTTTTGCATTTGCACTTTTTTATTTGAGTGGTTTGCAATAGCCATTACTGATTTACTTGGCATATTTCAACAAATGAAAGAAAAACTTACCCACTGACTTGCTCATTCAACTGTTCTTTCGTCCATCCGGGTGCCTTCACTGATCCGTAAAGCAGTAGATGCTCTCGCACCGTAAGTGTGTTAAACAGCACATCATACTGTGGGCAAACACCCAGCTCTGTCCTGATGGCAGCCAAATCAGTACGTATGTCCTTTCCATCAATCATAATGGTACCAGAGCTCGGTGGATACAGACCGGTTAACAGTGATCTAAGAAAAAAAAATTATTCCTCAAGACAATATGCAATGACTGTATTACATAGCTCATTACTTGGATTTCCTGAGGCACATCCTACCATCCTTAGAGCAACACCAACTCAGTTGAGTACAGTTATAGAAACATCACTAATGTTTTGGGTTTCAATTTTATTGTTTTGGTTTTGGGGGTTTTTGGGGAGGGAGGTTTTTTGGGGGTTTTTTTTGGTTGGTTGGTTGGTTTTTTCTTTATTTTGTTTTTTATTGTCTCAACAGTCCTTCATTTCCCTTCTTCCAGAACAAAATCCATTTTTTTCCCAAACAAAAATAACAGGTGATTGTTTCTCTTTTCACAAGGGTATTCTGTGAAGAGTACTTCTCAATTAGGCCCCACACTGCATGGCTAGTTTGACGAAAGCTGATCATAGCTAACATAAATGTAGAAATATAGACTTCTTACTTGAGACATTTTTAAAGGTCATTTTCATTTCATTATTTTCATTTCTGGTCAACTGCCAAGAAAAAAAGAAGTCCCTTACAGCCTCTAGGGGCAAAGCACAAAACCCCATAAAACTCTGCACTCTCTATGTGATGAGTACATATAGAATGCCAGAAAAGAATACTCCCCCAAGGTGTGCTCAACTCCACAGCTAGACATTCCCAGCTCCTACTTAAGCTGCTCCTGAACTATTACATTATGGTTTAAGTGACACAGAAGACCCAGTTCTCTACTCATTACATTGCCTGTGTCATAGATACACAGTCTTCACTTTCCATGTGCTTTGGGGAGTTTATCAAATATTTATTTGGGGTGGGGGAAAGGCATAGCAAAGAATTCACGACATTTTGAAGTGAAAAAGTGTAGCAGAGATCAGAGGGAAGAGTAATACCATTAAATGTCAGACTTACATAACTGTTGTCTTGCCAGCTCCATTAGGTCCCAAGAGCGCTGTTATCTGCCCTCTGTGGAAAGTGAGGCTGAGATCTTTAACAGCCGCCTTCTGGCCATCCATGTGCTCTTTGGTGAGAGACAGCAGCACAACACCAATGGTGGCTCCTTCAGTGCAAGGGCCTTTCCAATTTTGAGGTGCTGGTTCTGTGTGGGAAAGGGCAGCAAAACAAGCAGGGTTGCTGAATCTAAACATATGTGCGTGTGTACAAAGGGAATAACAAACTAATTTAGCCCTGTTGCCATTTACCAAAGCCTGGAACAGATGTTCAGATGGTCTGAACTGACACAAGCTCCACTGAAATCAAAGATACAAGGCCAGTTAATATCTGCTAAGAATTTGGCCTATTTGTAGTTATGCCAAGTTATATCTCCATAAGGTCATAAAACAGTGGCTATATTTTATTTCTAGCAGAGAAAAAACTACTTATAATAACATTATTTGAATAATTGTTTTATGCCCCTAAGTATGAGTAAATTCTAACTGTGTGAGCTGCTTCATATATGCTGTTCAGTTTCAGGCAAACAACATCGACATACCATTCACAGGCATAGCCAGTTAATCTTCTCAATTCTCCTCAGTCGACAAAGCAAAGCAGATCTCTGGGAAGTGATTCAGAGCAGCAGCCTAGCCTAAACATGATTCAAGGTGCTCAAAGCAAGTAGATATCCAGCAGTTTTCTGACTGTGTTAACCAATTGAGGAAACTGAGATGACCATAAGACTCTAATAAAGTTACTTTCCCTTCTATGTCAGGAGGAAGGGTTTCCAAACAGAGGCACAGTCAATCAGCAGCCCCAGAAATACATAATTAGCATGTATTATCGACTCATTGCAACTAAGAAATCTGTTAGTGGAATTTATTTTTTTTCTTTTTAAAAAAGGCAAGCCAAAGTAGAATATCCAAAAAAAGAAACTGCTACGGATGAGAATTATGAGAAGAGGGAATTATCCTTTTCAATACATATGAAATATACATTTACATAAAATATTTATTGTTTATATTTACATTGTATTTAATACTTTTAAATAAATAAAATGTAAACATTGCAATAACAGAGAATTATGCTTTATATAAGAACCAAATTACATAAATCAAATTATAAATAAAAAATTATATAATTTTTTCAACTATAGGTTTGTTTATGTTGTAAATGAAAAAGCTGTTTTGCTCTTTTCACAATCAATTTTAAGCTTCTGGCAAAAGTTCTTTCTAAACTTGAGGTCACCTTCAAGAAAGGCACTACCAGCTATTGTGACATTTCTGAGGTCTTCCTACCCACGAACCTCTCCCAGTTACCTTCTCTGTCTTTCAGTCTGCAGACTAAAACCATCAACAAACATTCTTTATGCCCTTTCCACTGTTTCCTAAATTTGCATCCTGGATCTTAACAAAAAAACATTGAAGTGCAGTGAGCCTCAGGCAACGTATCTTAGGTAAGACTCAGAGGAAGGGCTTCAAGTTACTTGCAACCACTAAACTGATCACCTTAGAACTTCTCCAAAGAAGAGTTCCAAGCAGATACTCAGCACCCAGGTCTCTGCCAGCCCTGCTCTAGTTGTATTTCCAACCGGTAGGACTTACATGCCAGCCATTCCCTGACACACCTCTGATTTCCTAAGTGTTCTCCACCCCCATGGAACCACCCCTTACCCGGGTTGTACAGAACAAGTGCAGAAATCACCAGGGAGCAAGTTCCAAGAAAATTCTTCATGAATGCATTTACCCCATATTTGGTACAGTAACACCCAATTCTTATGGAAGACAGTAAGCTCCTTTGCTGCATGGCAGCTTTAGCATTCACACAAAGGGGATTCGCTATCAGCCACATGACATGAATCAGTCAAACAGAGGAGAAGCAATACACCAAGTGTAGGCAATGTGGCGAAATCAGAGAGAAATACTGGAAATCTTTGTTTCAGGTAAGGACCAAAGGCAATCATCTCAACAAAATGGAGTTGTTCCAAATTGCAGAAATTCCAACAAAATTCATACAAATAGTTTTCCCACAAGTGTTTAAATGAACCTCAAGACATTCTGAAGTCTGCCCTTCTCCAGGAGATACCAGTATCTAAAACTGCTGAGTTGTTAAGCTTCTTCACCTGTGCTACAGACAAATGGATCATTTCCAAGCTATTTTAACTTTCAGAAAAGCACAACCCACAATGTTATTCTAAGGCACAAGATGGAATATAGGTGAGAGTGACTTATTCCTTCATTCCAAAAATCTAAATTAAATGTCCTCACAGAGAACTGAGGTGCAGAGGGAAAAAAAAAAACGAAAACAAACAATAAAACAAACAAACAAACAAACCAAAACAAAAACACAAACAAACAAAAAAACCTGCCTAAATTAATTGCAAGCAAGTAAACACACAGAAGAGAAGTGAAAGTATCTGGAAGCAGATAAAAATTAGTTATAACAGTTGCTTTTGAAACAAAAGGCTAAGAAGCAGAGACAGAAAGAACAGTGATTACAGAAGAGAAAAATAAGAAATAGAAAGGAAAAAATGAACAAATTAATTTTTTCACTGAAATAAGAAGCCAATTTTAAAAAAAGTTAATAAAGCCCAACACTCTTCAGATTCAGTAAGAGTACAAAAGGCTTCACTGAACTCCAAAAGCTCCTAACCAAGCAGAGAGGCAATACACCGGGACACAATGAACCAAAGAGATACTTATTTTACAACTTTAAAGAGTTTTCTTAAATATTTGTGTACAATAGTTTTCACCGAATGAATCAAGCATTACAGGTGACAGCACAATATAAGTTAGTATATAACGTTCATAGTATATACTATATAATGAAAGAGAGAAAGTGACAAGAACAAAACACATAATATAGGGCCAAGCAATGATAAAAGCAGATTGATCCCAATCAGCCCACCTTTCAGGAAAAAAAAATTATTAAAATTCTATTAATACAGACCTTTTTCTTGGAAGTTTTCATTGAAGAAAAACATATTAGAATTCAGATAATGTCTCTTCCTCCTCTCTGCACCACACAGGTTCTTCCAGTAGGAAACAGTAAAGGGAAAGTACCATCGGTGTTTTGATCCAAATTTTCCTAGATTAGAATTATGATATAAACTGTTGAAAAATTTATAGTCATTTTGTATCTGTTTACAGACGACTAATCTCCTATCACTACTTACAAAGACCTGGTTAGACCATTTAATTAGCTCAAATTCTTGGTTGCACTCAACAAACTTTATAATAAAGTGCAAAAAAGTCATTTGTTCATAACACCAGGTACTGCCCTAGAATAACCAAACTTCAGTGATACTGTGCTTTACCCTGTCTCCAAATCAGCTTCAAAGTGTAACAGGATCATAGACTTAACAGTATGTAGGTACAGCCTAACATAATCTAACCTACAGGAAAGAAAATGTACCAAATGGCCTGCCAAGGTAAAGAATCTTATTTTTTGTTATAAACATAATCCATAGCATCAGTCAATAAATATTATTCTGAAATTACTATCCACACAATGTAAACAAATCCGCTACCATAAGAAACATTTATAGTGGCACACAAACAGAAAGGGCAAAAACATGCTTCTATACACAACCTAAACTTTGGCATTGCCCAATCTTTCCAGGCATCACTTACCCATCACACAGTACACACTCTGTGTGTTTAGAGTTACATTTCATTGACACCAAAGGGCAGGTGTCAATTTAAGATAAAGTTTTTTTAAATTCAGTTGTATATTCCACCCAGCCCTATCTTTCAAGGCAAAATTTATTTTCTTTTTAAACAAATACAAAGTGACTGGAAGAAAAGGTGACATATCCAAATCAGAGGAAAGGTAAATTTAAACGCTAGTGAGGCATGAGGCTATGATTGAAAATATATCAACCAATTCAATAATACTCATAAAACTTGGTTAAGGGAAAAAAAATTTAAAACCCAAACCACTGCCTTCTGAAAATATACTTGAAAGTTGGTTTTCTTTATGCATTGGACTGTGGACTGACTGGGAGCAAGATACAGTTACCAGGCTGTCTGAAGCCTTTATGATCTGAAACATGCTGTTATTCATGTTTCAGCCTAAGTACTGACTCAGAAAACTTGTCATTTTCACAGGAAGTTTTGCTATTAGACTGAGCTCTGTTACTGTGAATTTCCAATAAATTTCTAATTCTATCAGCAAATAAAACATATTTCATGCCTTGCTACAAATTATATTCCATGTATTAGCATTACTCAATATTTGTGTATGTTGGAAAACTTTATTTCCCTGTCCCTAAAGGCAGTCAGACAGTTTGTCACATCAAAACCCTAACTCAGAAAAAGACATACTTTTGTTTTAGTTGCATAAAATGAGGAAAGCCTATTCTATCTATTTTATTCAATAACTTCTTCAAAAACACAAAATAAGAACAAGTCCAAGATCTTACCAGGAATAATATTGCTGAAATACCAGCCACCTATAGAATACAAGATGGAGTCAAAGAACATCATCCAGCACATCCATCCAAAGGTCATGTATCCTCCTTGTGCCATTGACTGGTGCACATTATTCCACTGAATTCCTGGGAGTAATAATAACAATTTTTTAAAGGTCAAAGCTAAATCAGTACAGCATTAAAGATCACAAATACATCAACACCACACACTTCTGGGTATTTAAGCACTAGTACAAAACAAATCATAGTTAATAACAGTAATCCTAATGAATAGAAACGAATTGCTATGCCTCTACATGCCTCTGTTTAGAACAGCAGGTGAAACTGCTGTTGGGAAAATGCAGGGAAGTTGTTCTAGAAAGGGCTGTTTATTTGGCAAAAGAAAAAGAACTACAACACTGACAAAATGGGGCACTGACAAATGAATCAGGTTTAAGCCATTCTGCTGATATAAAGAAAAGGATTACACAAAGTTTAATGTCATTTCTATAATGCTTAATCTGAAAATTTAAATCTGTGAATTCTAACTTAGAAGCATTTGTGTTCATCGACTGCATTCAGAGATAACCATGAGCAAACTCACTGAATAATTGCATCATAAATTTATTATATTGCAGAAGACATGAAAGGAAGAAAGAAGGTGCAAAACACTAGGACTACAGAAAGCTACCATATTGCTAAATGGAAAACAAAAGTAGCCAAGTTGTAGATTTATTGAAAGCATTGTATTTTTTTACTGAAAATGCTACTTTTTTGCAGTAAAGTTGGTCATGATATTGCTTCTACATTTCTTTTTCTATGATTGTTAAAAAAAGTAGTTTTTCCCAAAACACATTTTGCCATTCCTTCAGTAAAGATGAGTCAATTTTGATGAAGTGTCTGGTTACAATTTTAAGTAATGTTTTCTGAAACTACCTCTTCCACTCTTACCAACTTTTGTACCACTATGATACTTTTTCAATACCTAGTAGTTTGAAACATCCACTGTCATGAAAACTGATCTTGCCATATTAGTAAAAAAAAAGGGATTACATCCATTTACATACCTGGACTTGATTTATTCTATTAACTCATTAGAGATTTTTTTCAAAACTAAGTGAAAAACATTTCCAACGTTAGTTTTTGAAATAATTATAATGCTTCTTCTTCTGGAGAGCTTACCTATTTCTTGGCCCTCAAAGTGTGTAATGAAAAATATTCCTTGCCCAAAGGCAGTTGTAGAAAGAAGACACTACAATACCAGAGGAGAAAGAGGATGTGAACATCAAATAAAAACATGTTAACAAGTTCCATGAAATAAAATAAATTGTGATAATGAAAGCAAGCATAAAATAAACAGACTTTTTTTTCTTTTCACTTAGGCTAATGATAGCTATTTCTTTTTATGTTTTAACAATACTCCCCCACAAACTTCAGTAGTATTTGCTCCACCTTAAAGGGCTGCACTGACCCAGTTATTAATATTGAGAAGTGTTATTTAATTTTATAACAGAACATAGACTATCATAAATCTACCATGTACTGAAAACTTATGATGCAAAAGTATGCAAAGGAATTTACTTTTTGTGATAAGAGTAGTGGTCCTACTCAATTTTGCAAGATCAGAACTCAAGAAAAGACAAAAGTAGAAAGAACATGCACATTAGGTACTATATGCTGAGACAGCATTTTTGTGCAAGGAAATAACATTTGAATTTCAAGAAGAAATGCAGTTGTGCTGTATCACGAAAGTATGGAATGGAAAATAGCAAGTTAGTGATGTAGTATAGCAAGAAAGTGTGATGGAACCCATCCTGACAGCTCTCTAAAGAAAGAAGTATGATATAGGCTGTTTCTTAGAAAAAAAAAATCAAAATGATCACTGGTATGGTTTATGTATTTGTACAGAGAATTTCATGCTAATTCCCATCACCTGAGTTCCTGTCTCTTACATTTCCAGGGTTTCACCACATGATGGGCTCTCTCTTCTGTTAATAATTACCGCTTTTTTCACATGCTGCTGTCTCTGATTTTCAGCAAAGGCAAGTGTCAGAGACTGAAATGGTTAATGGCTTAAACGTTGTAAAATCACCAAAACACTTTTGGCCACTGTAGCAAACTGAAAAGAAGCAACTGTTCACCCAGCAAAGCCTGCCCCTCCCTGAACATGCCCACTGTGAAAGGACCTTCAGCTTAGATAAGTTAGATAATTATCCCAGGTGCAGAAGGGCACGCACACCTGAAGCTACAACCTGGATTTCCTGCAAATCCTGCAAAGTGGGATAATCCTTCTTATCATGCCAATGTCCTCCCTTATATGATGACTCTGCTGTGAAGACCCCTCTGGGGAGCATTAAAGGCTTGAAGACTCATGACATGTCCCGTGACATTATCCATTGAAAAACCACTGCCCCAGGAGAGATACAAAGAGTTCCCACCTTCCCACAAGGAGTTCCTGAGTTTGAAGTGTATAATCTTTGAGTTCTGGGGGGGACTTTCCCCAGTCCCAACAGACCAAGACCATAACTTAGACAGAACTATAATCACCACTTCAACCAACAGACATGGAAGCCACAACTATGAAGTTTCATTGCTGGATCCAGCGGGTGGTGACTATATATATATATCTTAGGACTCTTATCCTTTCTTTCCCTTTCTCTCCCTTATACGTTTCCTTAAGTGTTATTTTTATGCTTTAAAATTACTATGCTTTAATATTGTTGTATTACTATAGATGATAACACCCAAAATGGCAACATTTTGTTTACCTGTTTACCTTTGAAACAAAATTGTTCTAAAATAAACCCTATATATATTTATTTATAAACACTGATTATTCAATGTTGTTTGACTCTGATCCACACCAAGGAATTTATTAGCAAGAACAAGGGTTACCCTCTCCTTCTGGGGCCAGTCGTAACAGCAGGATATCTGAAATATTGTTTTGAAATAACTGATTTTAAGGTGTGCAAGTTCTCTGATGCACAGAAAAAAAGCAACAGAAAACAAAAAATCCACTTTGCCTATTTATGCCTGAATTCTGCAGTCTTACATCCATGTTTACTTGTATGCAAAGAACTTGTATATTTTATCTGACTGCTTGACACGGAAAAAGTGAGCTTTTTTTTTTTAATAGTGTATGAATTATTCCACTAGTTTAATTTAATACATGAGTTATTCTGAAAGACTCATGCCATAATGTGTGAAATATGGTTTGCAATGTATGACGATGATATTTGATGTCACATTCAGGGATATAGTATGTTAAGACAGTACAAAGACATGAAACAGCCTGTGGCATACACAAAACAGGAAAGGACCCTGAAGAATCTACGTCAAAGAATCATATACCTCAGACTGTATAGCTAGACAAATTTCTGATCTAATCTCCAGTTTTACTCAACAGAGAATCAATCACTAGTTTTCCTCCAAACAAATAATGACTTTCAGAATTGGCGTGTCATCAGCTGATCTAACATTAAAAATATTTTGAGGTCAAAATATTAAGAGAACTCATGGGCATGAGGAATGCAACTTCCTGATACTTTCTGTAGGTTTACAAAATTTCCCTCACAATTTATTTTTGGTTCCTTTCTACATTCTAAATATTTTCTCAATTGGATAGTTATTAATGTGATTTATTTCTAGTGAACACAAAAGCAAACAGAAACCTAGGAAAAAATAAGTGAATTATAATCTAAAATTTCTAAACTACGGAAATCCACAGCAAGGTTGGAGGAGAAAAATTAGAAAAGGAAAACAAATATTTACCATTATAATCTTGATGATGAAACTCAGTTGGTTCTGCAAGACCAACAAAACTATGTAGGGTAAAAAACTGATCATATAGACAAGGCTGGCACACAGAGCTGCTGTATCGGCACTGCTAAAAAACACTCCCAAGAAATAGCTTAGCATAATAACTGTGACTCCAAATTCCAGGAGAAAAAGGAAGATGAGGAAGCCATTGCTATAAGCAAAGATACCACTTGCTTTTAAAATGATGGCCAGAGCACAGCTGCTTATTGTGAGTACAATGACATTCTCAAGAAACCAAGCAAAGAAATGAATGGCTGGATGTACACCCATTGTCTTCATATACTGCAAGACAACACAGCAAAGAGAGTTAAAGTTAGGAAACAAATTTTCTTTTTTTTTCTTTTTTAAACAAAACATTGCCACCAAGACACTAGCACCTCCCCAAAGGAAGTCATCTTCTCCTGAAATTACTTGTTTCTTTTCCCTTTTCATGTGCTATCTCCAGGATCAAACACGGTATTGAGCAGGGCATTCTCTGGGATTACATACAAAACACAAGAGATTATAATGCTCAGCACAACTCTCTTTTGCAAAGGGTTGCAGGACCAGATGTCAGATTACTGGCTCCTCCAGTGAGTTTGCCATTTATACACTAAAAATTCGGAGGATATGCACAGCATTGTATAAACAAATGGGGTTTTTTGCAGCCTCTTGCTCTACTAAAAGTACCATACAGATATGTCTGTAAACCTTTACATATTGACATAATAACGACACCTGGCAAATAATAATTTAGTATCACTCATCTTTTTTCAAAAAATGCTCTTGGATACAATCTAATACAACCTCTGAAACATTTTTCCTAAGAGGATCAAAATTAACTTTATGATATGATATGATATGAAAATAATTTAATATTTTGAAGCATTAAAAAAATCTATCTTACAATACAAAGAGTAGAGAAATTAGATAAGTTTCCTGTAATTCCCCAAATTAAAAAGCTTACTCAAGCAGTAATTCTGCTGATCACTGAGACCAGCATAATTCTTAAATTCTATGTAAAATTATATTTTACATAGAAAATGTACCACAAAACCCCCTGTCTTTCCATATGATTAGCACCTGTAAAGACTAGCTGCTGATATAAGCAAATAATTGTCTCTTTTCTTATGTGTTGTCTTTCCTAATATTTCTGATAATTACGCAATGCATGACAAATTTTTAAATTGGTTAAGTTAGTGTTATCATTACAGACCATAGAGCAAAACATGAAAAAGAATCCAAAAAGCCCCATTCTATTCACAAGGACCTTTTCCAAATAACAATTTCCAGCTTCAACTTTTATGGTTCTTTTGCTTTTTGGTTTTTTGTCTCAGGGATAATATTTGCATGCTAGTGCTCAAACAATGTTGTGAATCTGAGTTAGAAGCTAGATTTAGAACCTACTGCCCAGAGGAAACAAATGAAAACAAATGAAAACAAACCATCTGAGTACAACATTATGAGTACTTAAAAGGTCTTCGTGACTTTTGCATTTCAGTGCACCATAATGAAAGAACTTTCTTTTCAGAGATTAATCTGCCTCTTACCTCTTCAAGATGAATTTCTCTTTCATAAACCAACTTGCGAACCATACCAGCAACTGAAACCATCCATGTTAGCATCATCATAAGTGGGAAGAAAAACCCTATATTGTTCAAGAATCTATGAGAAAACATAGATGCAGAGTTGTCAGCCCTCAAAGGTAAAATATTTTCTAGCGGAATGTTACTAGGTTAATATTGGGACTATTCTCAATGTAAGCACAAAATAAGATCTGACATGAACTCTGAGACTTATTCCTGTTCTGGTTAGAGCTACTTATTTTTTATGTAATGGGCTAAATATACGTATTGGTACTACATTATTATATTAGCATTTCCAACAATACAACTATATAATTACTCTTTAGGATTCCATTTGAAGTCCGACAGAATTCAGATTTGTGTCTATGGCAAAGTAACATATTTGGACAGTAAGGAATAACATGACTCAGTCAACTTTTACTCCACTTTAATAGATTTATTACCACTGACTAATTTTAAAATCTAATAGTCAGGATGTTTTCATGCTTTTACAAACAACAACCCTACACTTTTTCTTTTCCTTCATCAACTTCACACTGTATTTCAATGCACACGAGGGACCAATTTACAGTTTGTGTACAGGACAACTAAGGATAGAAAAGGGATCTCTTAGAATACTCTAAGTTAGTTGCACAGTATATTGACACAGCCTCTGCCCAGCAGACTACTCCACAGTATACCTGGAAACAGCTTGTAAGGGGTCATTGTAAGGGGCAGATGTTATAACATGTTATATTAAACACAGCTGTTGGACAACATTTGCTATGGTGCAATATTGGAGTAGTATTGGATATACTGGTTCAACCCTGTGCCAAGATATACATTCACTCACTAAAAAGTGGGAACCTAGTAGGTTCTGAAGTTCTCTAGCACTGGTCTAATAAGGATAATGCATTGAATTAAAAAGACGACAGTTTACTTACAGATCACTGGTATGACAAGGGTAAGGCATGGCTTGCACCTGAATGGCTGTCTCTGAGGTATCTATCCCAGTCTGTGCTGAAATAATTGCCCTTTCAATCATGTCTTGAAGAGGAATAAAGACATGGTTGTACTTAAACCCATCAGCTGGTAACTTCTGGGGATGGGACTTCCATGTTGGGTTTTTAATCAAATCTGTTCTCATGCTATAGAGAACACTGGTTCTAATTGTATATGAAATGTGTCTTGGAAGGCCATTACTAGAATCTTGCCTCTTGTTCTTCGGTGTATCGAAGATGATACCTGGCACAGGAAGAAAGGAAGCTTCATAACCAAGCTTATATGATCTATGCTGTTTCCATAGCTAACTCATGGCTAATTACCATACAATATGGGATACATTCACCTGTCAGGGCAGGTCTCTAAACTTTCTTGACATCCAACACAATAATGGTAGTTTTCATTTTTTGTGTTCATGAATTTGAAATGTAAAAAATTATTCACATGATACACGAGTTTGAAACAATCATTTTTATCTAAGAAAATTTATTCTGTGATTTTCCTTTTTAAACTTCAATTTCTCTTTGCATCCAGGCTTAACTCTTTTTTGGGAATTGTTCTCAATTCCACAGTGAAAGTAGCAGCCATAAAATTTGTCCATCAAGAGATAGCAACCTCTGGAAGTGGGTGAAAAATTAGACAGTACCAACTCACTAAAATTTACCGTGATATTAATTTTCAAATCAATTACAAAACTTTACTACTTTACTACTTTAGCGCAGCAGAATTTTTATGTTTATTTTCTCTAGCTCTGTATAAAGAAAAAAAAAAGGCAGATGAAAACTTAATATGAGATGTAAAGATGAAGCCACATATATGGAAATGGTTGTATTTTCAGTCTGGATGACCCAGACTTTTTAGGACTTTTTGATGAATGTGAAATGTTGCCCTTTTTTTCCTTAGGAAAGGGGAAAGGTGTCTTGCCTACCATCTGATTTTCTGAAAGAGACTAAGATATAAAATAGTCTGCTGCAAAGCTTATTTCTTTCAACTGGTCAATCTCATTTTCCCATTTATGCAAACAGTTGATTTCCTAAGACATTCCATGAGGCAATGAAGGCTCTGAAGACTACAAACGGAGCAAGGAAAATTCCACTCTAGTTTAATATCTTGCTTTGGAAAGGAATGTATGCCTACGTCTGAGCATGTAACATTGACATGTTGGACACATTAGGTCCCTTAAAACACCATTTTCTCTCTCTAATAGTTTGAAGTGATTATAAGGCCAGAGTACCGAAAAAAAAAACTCTCAAGAAATGTCTTGGCTTATGTTACCATATGACCTTTCCCCAGGTAAGTGGAAGAAAAAAATTGATCTAGAACTTGACAATTCAATTTTCTGAGCGCCAAGATTTATCTGCCCGTTTCATCCCTTGAAGGGACAAACAATTTTGCTCATATAAAGTACTCTTTAGCAATTCTCCTTATCTTATGGTATGACCTGTTAGTCTCATATTGATGGAGTGTAGCCACTGACATTCTGTAAATGGGAGGTACTGTGCAGGTTACAGAACAAGCATAGGATTCCAGATTGAGTAGTTTCAGTCTCTACAACTTCTTTCTTATGCCTTCTGTTGTATACTTACAGGAGTCCAAGGAGACAATAAAAACCAAAACAACAGTGGGAAAATGTTGCGGCACACTTCATGTGGACTTAAATGGGTCTCTTTTTTGGAAAGGCTACATGCAACTTACAGCATTTTCTGAGAGATGAGAAAGCATGTGTATTAAGAAAAACACACTTGCCTTTTAAACTTTTTTGTACAATTAATTGATTCTCTAAGCATATAACGTGGGGAAAGGATAGAGAGCATAATCCCAAGGAAAACAAAAAATATACCCGTTTCTTAAGAATTTATAAACAAGAGAATTTCTCTGAGATGTTGCTTTAAGAATAAACCTTACCAAAACCCATTTCTTTCCTCCTTTTTGCAAAGTCAAGAATATAATAATTAAATTTTGAAAGGATGTAAACTAGATTAACTAGATGATTTTGTCATAATAAGTAGTCAGTTTCCTCAGCATTCTACATTTTTTCAGCTTTTTCTACTTTAAACATTTATGACCATTCTTTTAAATATTTTGTTATAAATAACAGGCTACAAGTATTCATTTGGCTATTCTACAGTTAAAACAATATAGTTTTTCTTTACAGCATATATTACTTTATTTTGCCTGTATTATATGTGTTTTAATACGCATTTTGAAACTGCATAAGCTTAACCTATCTTATCAAGAAACATAGACAACGACTACAAACTCTGAACTATTCTGTCAATATGCCTTTTACATAACGGACTTACTAGCCAAAAGATTATTTTGCTGCATGAGTTCATGAGCCTTCTCCTGCAATTTTTCCACAGAGTCAAAAGGCTGGAAACGGTCCAGTAACACACAGGAAGAGATATTTACTACAAGCTGTGACAACAGGTCAATCTGTTTACTTGCTGAGCTGTTAAGCATCTTGTTCATCATGGTTTCTAAAATGAGGAAACAAATTGGACTCCTTAGTTTTAATAACTGGAACAGAAGGTGTGTCGTCACTTGCACATCCTGTAAGAGTAAATACCCTTTGTTTTAAATAGCATAGGAATTTTAGTGTGAGCTTGTGGAAGAAGTGCCATTCATGTTTCAGTGGCTTTTACAAGCCTGAGCTACATTTTCCTTCAATTTCAAAGGAACAAAAATGTAACAAACTAGAGCAAAGTTTTAGAAAGACATCAGGTCTTTGAAGCTGTAGGACTTCTAACATTTTCTTGTCTCTATAACTCCTCCCACAAATATAAAGGGAATTGCTGTACTGCACACATCACAGTAGAGACTAATCTGTCGTTTAATAATATATTGGCCAATTCCTTTCTACCTAACACTGTGAATATTTCAAGAACTTTAAATATAGAGCATAAGTGTTTTGACTGGAGCCCCACATTTAAAAACATCTGAAAGAAAGCCTACAACCCCTGTATTTTTACTTTGATTTTATCTATGGATCCAGGATGAATGTATACCTTCAGCAAAGCCTCATTTCCAAAAAAACTGAACCTTTGGAGAAATTCAAATCTTCATCCATTGGTATAGAATGTAGGGATAGTGCTATATCCTTATGTTTGAGAAAATAAATAGAAAGATAGCAGGATCTAGAAACAACCTTAACTCACCTAGATTTAATGAAAACATTTGAATTTCTCAGGGAAAAATAATGTTATAAAACCTCCAACACAGTTTTCCATCTTAAAATTTTCAAGGTTCACTTGAGGATATAGGCTTTAAAAAGGATAAGTGATGACATCATTTGATAACAATGGTGACAGACAAATTCTGGAGCATAGATATTATTTAGCATCAGCACAGGAAATATTACAATAGGAAGGCAGATAAGTAAAAAAATGTATGAAGCAATCTGAAGAAGTGACATGATTAACAGTGAGAAAGGATAAGGAGCACGCGGAGAAAAAGTAGAGGAACTGACAGTCTAGAATTCATAAGATAGGCAAACAATGACAGAGTGAATTCATAGGTTGAGAGAAACCAGTACCAAATATAGATCCTATATGTCTTATTTATGACTATCCTTGAGGAGGACAATAAAGGAAACACTTTTGACGCTACTTTTTTATGGCATTAGAAAGAACAGAATATTCCTAGCATTAAGCCCTAGTGGTAGAGTTAAGCTTTCATATATATATTTATATATGTTTATGTTATTATATATAGCCCTATATATATTCTCCCCTATAAAGACAAGCTAAGAGTACTGGGGTTGTTCAGCCTGGAGAAGAGAAGAAGGCTCCAGGGAGACCTTATAGAAGCCTTCCAGACCTTTTTGTGGCCTTCCAGTACCTGAAAGGGGCCTACAGAAATACTGGAGAGAGACTTTTTAAAATGGCACAGGACAAGAAGGAATGGCTATAAAGTGAAAGAGGATAGGTTTAGATGGGATATTAGGAGGAAATTCTTTACTGTGAGGGTGGTGAGACACTGGAACAGGTTGCCCAGAGAAGCTGTATTTGCAGCTTCATTCCTAAAGTGAGCAACCCAGCCTAGTGGAAGGTGGCCCCATGGTAGAAGAGTTGGAACTAGGTGATCTTTAAAGCCCCTTCCTACCCAAACCACTCTATCATTCTGTGAAATACACACACACAAGACCTTAATTAGAAATCAATAAAAAACTAAAAAAAGCTTCTCTTGTTAATTAAGTTATTGAATATTTTAGCATAAGAAACATCATCTAGCTTACTGTTTCCTTGGAGTATGGCATACTTTAAGTTTTCTGGAAGAATATATTTTCTTTCGCAACATGCATGAACTTCTGTATTCCATCACAGAAATAAGACATATATATGAACAGATACAATCCACAGGAAAGGTTTAGAATTGAGATCTAGAGAGTTGTATCTTGTATTTTTTCCATTTATAAATGTAGCAATTATGAATAAAAAGCTTGGTGAAACTGTGTTTGCTGTTATCTTCATCCTTTGTTACAAACCAAGTCAGCCTTCATCTTCCACTCAGCTTGTTTAACCTGTCCTTAACTGGTTTTTGTAAATCCATTCGTACAAGTGCTATTTAAGATTTAAAAATGATAGAAGAATACATTGGAATAAACCATGCATAAATAAATTTAGGTAAGAAATTGGAAGAAAGTTTCTAGTTATCAGGAGATTTGGGTGATGGCACAGTTTTCAGTGATGACATTAGAGCTGTTTGTTTCCAGCTTTCTAAATACACATAAAACTTCATTACAATGAAGACAGCAGAGGGATAGCATGAAGGAAAGCTGGCTGTTTTGTTTTTTGGTGGTTTTTTTTATCACCCAGGCTGTTACATTATGAGTCACATGTAGCCCTGCGTAAGGGAGATTCCTTAATAGCAAAAAAACACGTTTGGGAGAAATAACAGAAGATGGACAAGAGAGAGACTCAGCAAGCAAGAATTTAAAAGAGGAGCCTGCAGCACAACTGCCTCCCAATGCCTCCTGAGAGGTTTGTAAGGACTGTGCCCAGCAAGGAACTCTCAAGCTCTAATGGGACAGGGTTTATATATAATTGGTAGGAAATTACAAATTGCTGGGCTTGAAAGCAAGTATAGAGGAAAACAGTCGCCTTGCCCACACACACCTAGCTTAGAAAGTAACGAAGGGTTTATAAAGAAAACCATAATCTTTTCAGCACTCAGCTTAATACTTACTTTGATCCAGGTGAGTAAATCTGACTCGATGACTGCGTAAAACAGCTTTAGAAATTGATAACTTTGTAGGGTCTTACAGCATGATGATTTTATAGAGAGGTTGGAAGAGTTCTATGTCTATCCACTCTGTACACAACACTTTCCAGCAGGAATAGCAAGGTGAATAACTTGTCACTAAGTCTGTTAACAATTTTTATAGCATTGTAGAGAAGTAAGAAAAGATACAAACACAAGCAAAGAAAATCTCTTGGATTTGAGAATAACTAGAAGTCATCTGAATGTGAGAGTAGGTGTGATAAAACAAGGGAATATTTGCTTTAGTTAGAAGACAAAATACATAATCACACAGATCAGGTGGTTTTAGAAAACTTGAGCTTTGGATGGAAAAAGAACAGATTGTGAGTGGTACAACCAGTAACATATATGGATACATTTAAGGCTTTAATTGGATCAAGTAAGGTAATTACAGGTCTAAACAGCTGATACAATGTAAGATTAATGAAATTTTGAAAAACAAACATAAGAATAGAGATTTACAGTAACAGCTACACAGGATTTTGGACTAATAAAATAAACAAAAAATACACAAGCTAACATAAAAATCAGAGTGCATAGTCATTTTTCAAGAAGTAAAATGACAAAGTGAATCTGTAAAAAGAAGTGTAATCAAAGTGTAAATGCAGAAGTGTGCTCTGGCACTTTGGAGAGAGGAGCTTCACAAAGGCATAAATGCTCTTGTGATCCATAGCCCATATTTATTTTCACTTTTTATATGATGTCAATTTTATCAACTATATTCCCTTAAAATAAAGAAATTCTACTTTCATAAACTACTTTACTTAAATCATATTCTGTATTGAGCATCCAAGACTATTAACCATTTATCAAATGTCCTTAGTTCTATTAAAAAGCTACATCTTGAGAAACACAGGCAGAGATTTCCATGATGTTGTCTACAGTGGTGAAGGTGGATCTGATGACTACAGAGATCATAATATCTATTTGATGAAGTATTGTTTGTCCATAACCTATCATGTAGGTCCCAGAGTTGCACCCAAACAAACAAAATCCATCTGTTACTCAACAAATATATTGAGACAGCTAAATTTCCAGCAGGCCCTGAGCTTAAGAGACTTATTCTTTCCTCCCTTCTATCTTTCCAATAGTGGAAATGATTCTGTGGGCTTGTATTATGATCCATCTTCACCATGGGGGTGAGGTGTGCACAGACTAGGCAGTAGTTCACTGGTTAAGAAAATCATTCTGAGAGAGAGCAGATTCAAATTTGCATCTCTCACTTAAGGGGGACACAGAGCCCACATTCTTTCTGAATTGAATTCTGGACACTGTTTGCCATTTTTCTTAGTAAAAGTGTGCAGCCAGTCCTGGTCCTTAAACACAGCCTTCAAACCAATACCAATTTCCATTAAACCTCACATCCTGTGTGCAAAGGAAAAGCCACACCAGCTCACACAAACTATGTACCAGATCAGTAGTACAATTTAAGACTGAGAACACAATTTATGAGCTCTCAGGAGCCTCTGTGGATTTTGTCCATCTCCTGCCTAGAAGCAGGTAGTGAATTCCAATAGAAGTTGCACTTCGGGTACATTTATTTATTTTAGGTCTATTCTTGATTTTTTCCTACAAAGCTGACTTAATAACCTGTATTGCTGTAAAGTCCATTTTTTTGAAGCAAGGAGGGCCTCAGCATCATCCTGGTGGCCCTACTGGGCCATCCCAGGGCTGGGGCTGACCTTGATTACTCTCTACTGACATTACAGCTCCCTGATTGTCACCCTATCTCAGGCTTTTCCGAGGCACAAGGAGATCACGCAACTGATTCTCCATAAACAGATTAAAAAAAAAATGCAGGCAATTCTTGATCAAACACACTATGTCAAATTTAATTTTCTATTTATTTCCTTCCAACTTTACTACAAAAATCTACTTCTACCTAATGGAACTGGGGTTACTGGGTTTATGCCTCCGTTCACTCCTTTTATGTATAGGTCTTATGTTTGTAACTCTCCCATGACACTTTGCCACTTCTGATTTGTTACCAATATTTTTTCAATATTTTGAAATTCAAATTATCCACGCAAAAGAAAAAAGACAATTAGAAAGATTTGAGACTAACTCAAGGGAGTAAAATCTCTTATTACATTACTTTAGTATCATTGAAGTAGGTAGAACATTCAATTTCAACCTAATGTAGTTCTAAGTTGAAGTTCAAGTCTGATAAGGCTAATCAGTACATGCACTTTTATGTACGTACCATATGTTTGCATTTTTTTTAGCAGTTTTTCCATGTCAATATCCAAATTACTTTCTATGAAGTGCTTTATGAAATTGCTTTGCAATGCTTCCTAAAATAAAAAGTGATAGCTGTTACATCAGGTTTATCTGCTCTAAGGAAATACAAAGCATAAATATGCATTTATGTTCAATTCCATTACCAAGATTTCCTGCATAACACTGGAGAAGTCATTTAGCCTCTCCATGGCTTTAATCTTGCCCTCTTAACAGGTTAACTCCACACACAGTTCAAATAATTGGAGGAGTAGGGGAGGGGAGAAAAGGGGGGAAAGAAGGTGACAGGAGAAGACAAATACATGGAATGAAAAAATCCCAGTAAAAAGAATGCTTTTTTTTTTTAAGTCAATATTTCCCCCATCAGTTTTTTCATCAGTTCCACATTTTGCTGGGAAATGCAAGGAGGTTCAAAAAATATTTTATTTCCCTTATTGTTCAGTGATACCGTAGTGATATTGGAAATAGTGAGGTAACATCGCTTTTAAGTATTTTCACCTCAGAAGTTTCTCAGCATCAGACTGTAGGTTCATAACCTAAAGCTAGTCTGCATCTTTCTCAGCTCTTTTTAAATCTGAAGTCATATATGGACAGTTTTACATGTTTAGAAATACTGTATAGATCACACAGCAAAAAGTTGAAAACTAGAAACTTCTCCACGATTCACCAACCTGCAGTCGTGAGACTGTGAGGACATTTCCACTGGTTTTAAAAATCTCAGACATCCTAAGCCATGTCTCAGAATAAGTCTTCAAGTGTTCCACAAAACCAAAAGTGAAATTAGCCTGGGAAAAAGAATACATGGAAACAAATGAAGCTAAAAATGTGCACAGTAAATCATAAGAAACAGGAAAAACTGCCATGCTTCAGAGCCTCTGCAATTCCTTTTCATTTCACTTTGATAGTCAGCAGTAAGAACAACCATGTTTTCTTTTTTTCTTCTTAAGAAATCGAAAGTATTTTTTCGCAATACCAAGCAAATCAAAGAAAGGTTTTCCTGCACTGTGTTTTCCTGTCTCCCACCTGACGTATCATAAAGACCTCTTTATTTTTATAATGTCTCTTTCATACAGAGTATCATGGAGGTGCTTCAGAAAGACAGAGAAAGAAATACAGTCAGGACATATTCGAAAGGAAGCCTTTGCAATTGCAGGTCTTTTATTCAAACTATTCACCAGAATATATAATAAAAATGAAAGCTGGAAGCATGGTCTGGACAATAAATTCAACTAGAAACATAAAATCAGTCAGTCTATTTCAACATACTCCCGCAGGGAAAGTCTTGAGTAAAGCCAAATATTTTCTGTCCCAGTCAAACATAGGCTGCAATTTCTCTCTTAGCAAACAACCAGCAATTTTTTTCCACCCTGTTTTAAACAGATCCAAGTGTACTCCAGATCAGAAAATATTGCAGTATCTGTTTGTTTAAATTGGTGTTATCAGTCATAGAAGTGCATTTAAGAACAATCCAGCACTGCTGTTATGGTAGAAATTGTGACATTTCCCAGCAAAGAGTGTCTGCAGTGAGTTGTAAACTCCAATTTGGGACCACACTTTTTACTATAATTCCTATTGAAAGTATACAATTTCTACATTGTATTTTAAGTGCCTTTTTCAAAATCCCACTCTTAGCACAACATGAGAAAACAATTTGTTGTGGCTCTTTCTTCTTCTTTTTAGCACAGAAGGCCTCAAAGAGCCCCTTACATGTAATTTTGTTTTCCCAAAAAACATTATGCATCTAACTTCTATGAGAATCCCTATTTCACTTGAAAAAGCCATCATTCATTAGGATTAAAGTGAAAGTGATCCTGAATGTTAAACTAAATCTGGTGTGAAATGAACTAAACAAGTTCTTCTGACCAGAAGCAACACAGAAACCTCATGGACTGAAATCCCAGATGAGGCACAACAGTGACAAGATGAAGACCAGCAAGGTTCCAAGGGTGAAAAACAGCCAATATGGGTGTCTACTATCTCCTCAGGACAGAACAAGCACAGGTCACACCATAATACAAGGAGATCAAATTTTTAGACATCACTAGAGATTTTTGTATCAAGCAACTTGTAAGATCTGGGCTCGGTTCTTCTTGACTTGATTCTGAACAGCACAAAGGATTAATTTTTGTGCTGAAATTGCTTTCAAAGGGCTACAGTAACTATAATGTGCTTGTATTCAACCTCCTTATACAAACAATAAAATGTCCCAAATTACTGCAGCAGCATGGATTTTTGGAAAAGATGACCTTTATATAATGCAGGCACTCATTTGAAAGAAATTAAAAGACCAAAGCAGTACATTGTGTGCAGGAGCTATGGACACTAAGGCAGTATCCAAGAAACTGAACTAAAACCTATTGCCTATCAAAAAAAGATTTGAGAAAGACCTTATGCGTACATACACACACACTACAAAGCAGGAAGCTATTAGAAAACTTCCTTTAAAAAGAAGGTTACATCCAAATAAGAAACAAACAAAAGAAGTCTAGAGAATAAAAAAAGAAGGTGTTAGTTTAACAATGTTTTTGCTTATTCATTCACCACAGTAGGCCTTTGGGAAGTGCCTTGTGTCAAAAGCCTTCTACATGTGGAACACTTTGGAGAATCTGTTTCAAATTAAAGCAGCAGTATAAAAAAAAATCATACAATTTAACAAAATGAACAATAGGTAGTTTCCGGAACAAGATAATGTCCAGCCAAGAATTCCAAAAGCACTCAAGAATTAAATAATTGAAGTACTCACTGTAGTGTAACCTCCTGATTAAAATTCCCTTGTTATCAGGGAAGTGGAAAATAACAATGCAAATGCATAAAGATGCTAAGAGAGGACTGCAAACTAATAATTCTGAAATCTAAATAAGTTTAAATTTTTTATACTAGTAATAAATTACAATAAAGAGTAGTAGTAAATAGAGAATATAAATAAATACAGTTGGGAGATAAAAACACAGAATTTTGAAATAGAAGTTGTCTGAGATTGAAGTGGAAGAACAAGCAAGTGAGGAAGAGGTGGTTGATGCAGAACAACTGAACACAGGCACAATGAATAATAAGAGATTATATAACCCAGAAAGCAAGTGTACATTTGTACATCTGTACAATTACAGCAGTAAAGTCCTGGCAAGACTGACCCCAAAGTTTTGGGAAATAGCAGAGTTCTTCTAATGTGATTGCCTGAATATAAGATCACCTTTAAGAATATTCTGAAATAAGAAATACTTCCATAAGATCAGTTCATCAATGGCAAAAAGTTTAGTTGGGAAAGTAAAGATCAAAAACATCACATGTAGCCTTTGAACTCCTTGATGCCAGCTGGCACAGAACTGTTTTGCCCTCAGTCAGCACCACATCCTGTGTCTGTGACAGTCACTATTATTCTAAACAATAGAACTGTTGATTTCTCTGAAGATAAAAAGCAATAACCCCACAATTTATGGAAGACTGATCAATTACATGGTCTTGGAACTAAATAGTTCATGTGGAAAAATTACAGAATATATCCTAGTATACAAACATCAATGTTCTTTGAAGCTTTAATCCTCTACTTTTTTATTCTACTAAATGGCTGTCATGTGGTCACACACCCTAAAGGAAATAAAAGCTTCTATTCCAATTTCAGTAGGAGATGAGGCTGTGTAAGGTCTACAGGGTTGGTTTTTAGTGGCTATATTTGAGACACCTGAGACAATATTTTGCATTTAAATTTTCTTTCTGTTCAAGCAGTAGCTGATAGACTTCTGTAATAAAACCAAAGAAAAAGTTGTTGAAGAAACTTTCCCATTATATTCATATTTACAGATAAACGGGTACACATTCATAACTGCTTGTTAAAGGATTGGGGAAAGGGACAGGTGCGTATTTACACAGATATCTGAATAAGCTGATGGAACTTTTGTGAGCCTAAGAATATATAATGAGAAGGAGAGCTTGTGCTACAGGTGTCTACCAGAATCTTTGTATTGTTCCAGAGCACTAACCCCCCACAAAAAAGCCCCAACCAACCAACCCAAAAAACAAACCCACATATAAACTTCTTTCTGAACTGTATTACTCAGTCCAGATTTCACTCAAAGATATCTAGGGGAACATACTGTATGTCAAGATATTTATCTTTCTTACAGATGCTTTTAAGAATGGAGGTTTGGTATAATTATTGGCAAAATAATGTGGAAATATATTAAGTGCATTATTCTAAATGTCTTTGTAATATAGAATATAATTAAGTATTAAAAAAATTTTGTAATTTTATCACTTACAATTCATTCTTAATAGAATTTCCATCTATGAACATCAAGAGCAACATCATTTTTAACTGACTAAAATTTTTAAATTAATTATGCTGAGGTCCAAACCAATAGCCTGTTCCCCAAATAAAGTTATTTAACTATGAAATACGAAATGGCTAAATCTTTTTTTTCAATTCAGAACAGAAACTATAAAGTTACCTAGTATCTGCTATCTAGAATGGGCTTTTTGACTTAGATTTTTTATTATCTTTTTAAAGCACAACTCAGAATACCACAAAATTGTCCATTTACGGAGAATATAGTTACCATCACATTTAAAGTCATCACTTAAAGACAGCAAGTATTTTTTTCCAGTTCTTAAATTAAGACAAATTGCTGTTTTTGAAAAATTAATATTGCAGGATAAAAATCATATCTTTGGAAGGTCAATGCAAAATTTGCGCAGAAATCTAATGCATACTTAAAAAAGTCAACCTTTCTTTTACAGAGATGCTTCTAAGCTAGTTATGAGGAAACATGTTATTGTCCATAATCACACTCCAGACAGAGCACTGACCATACCAGAACTGCAGAGACAATAAAACTGTTGAATGATACCAACTCATCAGCATCCACACGTACAGCACCTCAGCTACGACTGGTCATTCATGCTACTGGTGTTAGAAATATAATCAGGAAGGATGCACTGTAGGTATCTCGGGGTTTTGTTTAGAAATGCAGCTCAGTGACTCCCTCAGAACAGGCTTTTGTTCCTGGGGCATTCCTTCCCACAGCTCTCTGTGCTGCCCCGTTGGAGTTCCCATCACAAGAAAATGTTGAAGGTAAAATCTGCTCTAGCATACATGAATCCTACACCTTGATCAGCATGATTCACATGACAGTTCTCCTAATGTGTTCTTTTTAACCTTTCTATACAAGGTTTAAAGGACTTTGAAAAAAATTCTGCTTTTCACACTGAGGTGAAACCACTATAACAAGTAGAATAAAAGTTAAGGGAAGCATGAAGCTTAAAGTGGGAAACAGGTGAGACCTCAGGGGGCAAGGTGGATCTAATTTTCTGAAGGGCAATTATACGACTGCAACTACCTACCCTGAAAGAACCGGACCTTTAAAATGAATTACAAAGACAAAAATCAATAAACAGAAATGGTAGGATTTTTTGATACTCACCTTCTCTATCACCAGGTCAATCATGTTGATATTTGAATTGTATAGTAACTTGCCATGTAACAAAGGTTTCAGGAAAGTCCATAGCAAAGCCCCATTAGGAGACTGCAAAATCTCTTGATAAAGCTTCAAGCAAAAAGGAGCTGCGAAAAGAAAGACAAACTTGCATTTAAGACAGACAACACAGGTGCCTGTGGTTTTTTTTATTCAAACAAAGGCTAGAGTCATATTTTGAGTCTGCCACAGTACCATGCTAAACACTATTCAACTGCCACTAAGCAATCAGTATAGGTCTCTGAATAGAAATTGTTTAACCACAGTCTATGATAGTGTTGAGGATGCAGAACTCTGAATGCTAAATATGAAAAAAATAATCAGAATCCAAAGAGCTCCTCACGTTTGTGAAAAGCAGCCTGTGAACCCTATCTATACTACAAGTTACATTAGTGCATTTAGAGCAGAAGGACATATGCAAAACCTCTTCCCACAAAATGAATGCAGAGGGAACCCCCCTCCACACCCTTCGTTGTTCTGCAGTTCTGTATTCCTACATAAGAAAGAAATAGGAATGCACAAATTCCTTCACAAATACAGATTTTTCTATTTGTATAATATCAGAAGAACCTACCAAAAAGATCAGAAAAAAATTGTCGTGACATTAAACTTCTTGATTTGAAAAATCTATCAATACACTTTTCCATTCCTTAATTAAAAAGACATATTCCTACATCACATGGGTCTATCAATACATCCTTCAAAACTAGGATGTAAGGAATAGTTTCCAAGATCCACCACTGCATTTGTACTCATGTAAAGGCAAGGAGTATTCTATGAGAAGCATTTAGATTTTTATGCCCAGTTCATGTGTTTTGAGGGTTTTATTATTTATTATGAGTGGATTTAGAAATGTGTCTTTTCTAGTACTATGAATAAATATTAAATAATGTCATTAACTCCTCAAGGAAGACAAATCATTCTACATAATAAAACACTAGGCCAAAAACTTTTAAACTCCTGACAAAAGTTAAAGAAAGAAGTGTCAGAAATGTTAGATTAGGAACAGTCAGTTCTTTGCCCAAATTTTTACTTTCTTGAATGAAACAATCATTAGTAAACATAGTCATTGCTAAATAACAGCAAAGGATTAAGAGACTGCAAGTTGGCCAGTCAGAAACATCAATATGCTAAAGGCACAAAAGATTTGCCAATATGAGTTTGCTGTCATTTTCAGGAAGTCATTAGGAAGTGTTTACATGGTGGTGTACATGAAACACATACAAGTTAATCACTGTGGAGGAGTATGAATCAAATTTCTGTGGCCTCCATTTTTTTTTAATTTTCATTTTCCATTGCCTCATTTGCAAATCTGCAAAATATAGGCAACAGTATTAATTCACTTATAGGAAGCTGAAACTAACTGATGTTTTAAAGATATTTCAGGGTCCTATGATAAAAGGTCTCGCAACACTCCAGAGCTGTGACACCTTGCAAAAAAAATATCATCAAGAAACAGTGCTTCTGACCTATGGAGCTTTGAAAGAGACTAAGTTCTAAACAATCTGTCTAATCAGCCATCCTGCTAAATTCATTCTTCAGAGAGGAAAAAAAAGCAGAGCTGCTTGCTTACCACTATATCCCACACACATAAGAGAGAAGGCCAGGGCAGAGCTCTGATTCCCTCCCAAGAGTCCCAGCCCAGCCAGGGGCAATTTCTAGCTGTAGAAACCAACAGACAACAGAATCTTCCCTAGTGGCACTCTGTCACTGTATTCTTCTCTTGCACAGAGTCACTGAGGCACTAACAAGGTTATTAACAATATTAAAATTAATCAGGGTAAGTGAAATGTGTACTCAGGAAAGAGAGCAAAGGTGAAATTACATAAGAGCCAAGAGATTTTTCTGAGTACTTGACAAAGAGAATAGAAATATCAGCTACTAAAAAACTCATTTTATCCAGAAGGTTTGCATATTTTACTGCATAGAGAGTTTGCGTTCACAGAAGAGAAGCAAGGAGTAATGCATTCTCAGTCTTGTATCTCAAAGATATATTTTTAATAACAAGTGCTTTAAAAATTGTAATAAATATGTCTCAAAGACAGGAATATTCCTATTTATTATTTGCAAAGAGAAAACAACCAGAATCATTTTTGTCTCATCCACAATTATCTCATAGCCATAAAACTTCTATTGATCAATGCCTTGTGTTCAAGATGACAGTGTCAACTAAGATGTCAGCTGGTATATAAATATTTCTGTTTAAGAGGGAAAAACTTTCCTAAACTCTGAGAGCATACTGCAACTTGTGATTGATATTTTTTCTTACTTGAATCTTCAGGAATGCCATATTTTGCCATATTGTCTTCCAAGAGTCCCATGTCTCTGGGCATGTCAATGAACAGGTTTGCATTGCTGAAAAATGGAGATTCTTCTTTACACACTGCCTTGATTACAGACTCCAGGGATCCAACAGCTGAACTTCTGAACTGCCCACCTTGCAAAAACTAGAACAAATGAACAGAAATACAAATGTATCAAACTAGCTTTTAATAGCTTCAGGGAGTAGCTCTGGTGTTCTGTCAATATTGGACCCAAGGAGATTGACAAAATTAGGCTGTTGAAACTGCTTTTAAGAATGAGGGCCTGCTGTGCTCTTCTGTTCTTCTGATCACCTTTATCATGGTGAAAGGTAACGTAGTTTTAATTATCAGGATATTCAATGAAAGACAGTAATACATTAAACTTTGAAAAAATCTATATATCAGTTAGGTAGAAAAGGAATGAAAATATCAAGACAACTGGGCTACAGATACCCTGATTCCATTGTTAGTTTTCACAGAGTGTGCTCTTCTGGTAGATCACTCCTGTGTCGCTAAGGCAGCAGAAACAACCAAATCCATTTTGCAATGAACGTTTGCAGTGAAGACAGTTGCTAAGAAGAAAAAAAAGTATTCAAGTGCACATGCCCTAAAAGCCTATTTTTCAAGTACATCTTTTAACTTGTTAGATGTGTTTCTAGGTTTTGCACATCTTGAGTCATACCAGCATTTATTATTGCCATTTGCTCATAACTAGCATACATCTAATGAGGAAAGAGAGCAATCTGACTGCTCTTATGGCTTAAGCACCATCATTCGCCACATTAAAAAAAAAAAAAATATCAACAGCCTCATCCTCTGTGCAGCTTCACTTTTCAAGTAATGTGCTCAGTTTTAACTAGTATCTGTGGAAGGCTGTACAGGCACACAGTTCTAAGAGGATACAACTGCAAGGCAGCATGCTGCTAGAGTATAACTGAGGGGTGCACTGGCTCACCTCATGCCCATTATTTTTTCAGATGTGTGTCAGGAAAGACATAACTAGACTATCAGACATCATTTGAAGACTCCATAACTGGCAAACAGAAAAAACATTGTGAGATGTCAAACACACACAATTCAACACTGAAATAAATTAGCATTTTATCATTGGATTTTTTTAAACAGAAGAGTCAATTTTCAAAGTAGTACAGCACTTTACATAAAGATTTAATCACAGACAGTTTAGAGATTGAGCTGTTAGAAACAGTTTATCCTGATCAATGCATTTACTGAAGTGCCAGGTGCTTCTTTAGTAATCCTGGAGGAATATTAGTAAGTGTTGTTTGAAACTTAGTGTTAGCTGCTCCCAAAATCTTACTTTTAGCACACAATTTCAGCACAGAGCATAGTAAATAAATAGTATCCAGATTTCATAAAACCATCATCTACAGCCCTTGAATGAATGTGCTGGCATGGATTTCACTGGAGAAATAAACTTTATGCACAATGCTGTATAAAAGTGGTTTTGAATCTTTATTAGTGATTATTTGAGCTAGAGGGATAAATGAGGCTTATTTCAGTCAAAGAGCACAAACTTGCTAATTAATTCCAGTTCCAATCAAAATAACTTGGAATTCAAATAATGAATATTTATGCAGTAAGCTGCCACTAACAGGCTGAATCTACTTACTGTCTTTCAGCTACATATCCACTGACTCAGAAAGATATGTTTCCTAAAATTTGGCTTTGAAGAAATAGGAGAACTATATAGGATGGATGTTCACCAAAAATGTTATCTTTGATCCAGTTGTTCTACTTTAAACTACATAAAGTAGGACTGCAATCAAGACTGATGAATCCAAACAACCAGCTTCCTACTGGTTCCTCCTGACAAGCAAGTCACTCTAACAAATTCATGGAAGAGGAAAGTTAGTATTGAAGATCAAAAGGTATCTGGAACTGGATTATCAAATGGAGGCAAAAACCTCATAGAACAGAGGCTTCTAAACTAACTGAACAGCTGTATACCTAAAAAAATATTATGAATAAAAACAAATTCATACGGAATACAAATATCAGCTATTCAACAAAAGAACCTGAAAGTCAAATTGAGCTACAGTTTGCACATAAAACTAAAATACATTCAGAAGCATTACATTAAAAAGGGAAAAACTAATACAATTTTCCTGGAAAACTACGAGGAGGTTGAAGATAATTCAAAATTTGATGAATCAGAAGGACTAAAGGAATCAAATGCAGACAAATAGATATTCTCAATTCTGGGAAAAAACATAAGGAGAACAAAGTCTTTATTGTCCTGAAATTGACAGAATCACAAGGAAAACAGCAAAATTGATGATTTAATTAAACAGTTTTTCAGAAGCCTATCAAATTTAGATGGCACTATTTGAAAAGTAGAAAAATCATTTATACTCAAGAATGAGTGGCATAATGCTCCAGGAAATAATGGATATCTGGTTCTGATGTTCAACAGAGCAAGATATGCACTAAGTTTTAAAGTGAAGATCCTTAAAGACAAACAGTATTTAAGGAGTAGAATTTAACACATTCTCAAATTATCACTCCAAGGTTAAATCTATGGTATATTACAGGATAGTGGGGATGGCCATGAAGCAAAGTTTACAACTGTGAGTAGATGGCCCTCTGCTGTTCCATTTGTTTCTTTGCAAATTTTTTTAAACCCTTTTGAGAACATTCTTCTATCAAATAAGCAACTTTGGAATTTAAGTCTGAAAGGAATATTTCATTTGTTGGAAAGAAAGTCTGACACAAACAGAACTAGTTTCAGGAAAGCAGAAAAGATCCGATGAAAGTCGCCATTCAGTGTGACAGCCAAAGAGCTGCCCCAGAAAGAGAGACTCAAAACTAAAACTAATATGCACTAGAAAAACATTTTTCAACATGTCTCTATCACACAGATTAGAAGATCTTCAAAAAGATTCATATCACTAAGGAAAATAGTCCTTAAGGCAGTGTTTACTCTGTACTGTAGTAATAAACATGATTGCTCGGTTTACCACTGAGGGATCTTTTAGAGGTTTGCAATTTTAGAACCAGATTCAATCCTCAAGTTTCCACACAGGATAGTAAACCCATAAGGTAATGTCATAGGGGTCAGCAGATCTTCCTATGGAACCTGCTTAGAAATAGAAATCCTTTTTCTGATTTATTTAATACTAGGCTCACCACTTTGCTAGCTGTGTAGATGTGCATACAGCAACTGCCCTTAAAAGCAGGGACAAAGAAAATATCCTCACTCACACCTCATGTCCCTTTTTTTTGAATGTTGAGCAGAACTATCACACAAACCCCTCACATGACTCAAACAGAAACACATGGTAAATAAAAGAACTGCACGTGCTATCTTAAAATCTTATCCTTTAAAAAAGCAAAGTTATTTCTTATAAACTTATAATGGTCTCCTCATAAAAAAAAATACAGCATTAGCAGAAAAGGCGTGGCTATCTCCAAATCACAGATAATACATAGTATTGTTAATCGGTAGACTAACACTGTAGTAACTTAGCCTATGATCTCATAAGTTAACAGAAAAAGAGATGACAGAAACAACACATCAATAGTCTCAGAATTACCAGAGTACTGGGGGGCCCCTGGTGGTCTAGTGGTTAGGTTGCAGCACTCTCACCACTGCGACCCAGGTTTGATTCTCAGTCAGGGAAAAACTCCCCCAGGCAGATGGAGTTCATCAGCCCTGTAAGGCCATCCATCTAAGAGAAGGTCACTCTAAACAAACCTACATCCTGAGGACCTCACTGCCACTGTCCAAGATTGCTCAGCCCCAGCAGATGAACCTCAGGATTAAAGGGTGGGCTCAGTTCAGCGCACACTGTGTCTCACCTAAAAAATCCACTGCGCAGGCTCAAAGAGCTAATGACCTTTCCCAAATCTTCACTCACAAAGACTGGCCATACAACAACCAGAGTGCTTGAAAGAGACCAAGTGAATCTTCCTAGGGTCAGTGGACTCTCTTCTCTAAGTTCCCAACTTTCTGGGATACCATTTCTATTATTGTGCCTCCTTACTAAGCATATATCCCTAAGTAAGCACCTCATAATGGGAATTAATTTGGCATATTGAAATCATACACATACCTGCTGCAATGCAGAGATGTCAAGTACACCAATATTTTTAATTCCTTGGAGGAACACTGGAAGCTTTTTCATGACATGGTGGACTTTATCAAGAAGTGAGCTGATACTAGAAACCACATCCAGTAGCATATTTAGCACACTGCCTATCTCAGGTGGTATCTGGATCTTGGATAAGAAGGAAAAAAATCACAGCCATAAATTCCCATTAGAAACAAATTTTAAGCTTTCAATGAAACATTCAAAATTATTTACCTTTTTTCTAAAACTGACTATATAATATTCCTACAAACCATGTTTAACAAAACTCCTTTTATTATAACTCCCAGTCACTCTCAAATTAAGCTGAAGAAAAGTTCCCTGGTAATGTTAGAAGTGGCCTATGACAAATCATGAATTAAAATTCAGAGAACATGTTTACACTTGCCAGGCTGAAGAGAGCTCTCCAACCCAAGATGCTAATGGGATCTGCAACATTCTGTCCCCTTGGAATTCAGTGTAAATGAGAACTTTTCTTTTACCAGGTTAAAGATGTTCAATGCAGGAATGTAATGTTTCAAAAATAATTTGTAAGTTAAATTAAGTCTAGCAACCACTTTTATTGTGTAATATGACTCCTAAAGCAACTAACTTTCATTTCGCACTTCTCCTGCCTTTGCATTTTTCATACCCAAAATGATTGCATGCACTTCATTCCCTACTTGACCTAAGTTCAATTGGCTTTTTGCTGTTTCCACCATGCAAATTTTGGCATTATGGATTTTCTCTCTATTCCCTTTGCTTTTGTGGTTTATTTAGCTGATACAATAACACAAAACAATTCATTGTTACCTGTCTATGCAAAATACTAAAAATACTATCATCTCATCACATGCTTTCAGTTGCATCTTCTGATTACTTTATGCACCTTTATTGGACTTGCTATTATAATGTCTGTGCTTAATTTTCATCTCAGCCTTCACCTGCTTTTACACAGTTTAAAAAAAAGGAGAAACTGTAGAAAAATCTTATTCAGCCAAAAAATTAGCAGAATTTCCATTATAATTTAGGATGAGCTGACAACGTTGTTTATTCTTTGCTAGGAATTCCTTGTTTCAATAGGGTTTAGTACAAATACCCATCAGAATAAGCACTGGTTTCTTTTCTTCTTTTTTTTTTTTCCCTCTAGGTTTGCAGATAATTCAGGAAGTAGAAATCTTTTCTTTTATCTCTGGTATCTTTACCTATTCTGGGAAGTGGTCTTGATTTTAAAAGTCTGTAGTTGACCTGTTTTACCAAGCATGCAGCATCCAGAATATAACCTGGCTTTAGAACAAAATATTCTTTCTCCTGATGTTATAATTTCATTTCAGGTATCCATACTTACAACACTTTATGTTCTGTCAATCAATACCCCATAATAATTGAAATTAATGTTTTTTAACTATCAGAAATCACATTCAATAATTTTGCTCTTATAAGTAAAAACATTATCTCACTGAATACCCACACCAGATTGCAGATTATCTACACTTCTACATATTATCTACATATAATACAGGCATGCTACAGAGTTTTGCATACTTAGTGCTGTGAATTCTTCCTAAAAAATAATTTTGTCATTCTTGTGATTTGAGCTTTTATGGTTGTTATAATTCCCATGATGCCAGTTCAGTCTCCCACACTTACACATAAAGAAGTGACTAATTGCATGAAGTGCAAACTCTGCTAAAGAGTAATAAAACTATGTCTTTGACTTCCTATATTTTCTGTAAAGCTTTCATAACTAACTCCCAAGCGATAATCTTTCTGAGGAAGCATGAAATGGAATGCAGTAGCATCTATCAACCCCATTCTTCAACTGTGTTTGTTCTGTGGAGCTAAATGAAGACAAAAAACGCCATATGTCCACTGTTTAATTCCACAGAGAAAGAACATCTGAAGAAATAATAGAATTATCAATCTGTCTACCTGTGTTCTTTACACCACCTTCAGAAGAAAAACATAGGAATCAAATGGGTTTTTTCCATCTTACCTTGTAAATGATGTGACGTAAGTTTAAATTCTGTATAATCAGTACAAACATGGTATACAAGTCCAGTGCTGGTAAGGAACATAATTCTTCCACTACCAGGGAAGTTTTACTGTTTTCAGGCAGCTTTAGCAGCAGGCTAAGTACTTCTTCATCACATCTTCCAGTTAAAGCTACCACAAAGGCACTATAAAAAACCTATCAGAATGTATGTGTATTAAATTTTTTTCTCCCTGAACTGCACCATCTTTTTTTATAGTCAATAAGGTGAAAATTTTTGTCACAGTAACATGACTATTTGCAGTCACCAACAGACCTGAAATAATAAACTATACAGCTTTATATCAGATTGGTGTGTTCTCACTTTATACTCTAAGTACATATAAGAAGATGAAATGTATTTCTTACAAAGATTTACTTTCATTTGTTCACAGATAGATCATTCATTCTATGAGCATTCATTCCATAAGCAGGCATATTTACAATGTTGAACACACTCCTTCTAGCAGATATACACCTTTGTTACAGCAACCTCTAAAGATCAAAATCCAAGTGTTATGAATCACTAAAAGCAAACAATGTGGTACTTCCTTATTTCAAAGGACACACAAAATTAACACTTGGTGATGCCTGTATGGCGCAATGTTCACTCTGAGTCAGCTCACATTTCTCACTTAAACAGTCCTTTAAAATGTCATTTCATAGTGGGTGAAGGGACAAATAAATGACTAGGCAGACCTCAGGTGAGACTAGAGTAAAACCTTGGATAATGATGGTTTGTTTCTTCCTACAAAAATGTCACATCAAAAGACAAGTGCTTGTAGTCCAGATATCTCAGGAGTTCTTAGCTACCCAATCTTGACAAGCCCAGAAAACTTACAAATTTTTTTAGGAGACTATAAGAGTCAACATATAGGGCTCCATTGTCTACCTAGGACAGAACCCACCTCTACTGCCTCCACTGAATGCATCTGTTGCTGGTAACAATACCCAACAAGGGAGTACCCAGCAAGGGAGAGAATCTGCAAGAAAATCCAATTAGGAGCCAAAATTGGTCAGGATATGCAATTTAACTCTTTAATTTCTATAAATATTTTGTTTTCCAACTCATAATTTGACTTTTCAAATTTTGTTCCAGAACAGAATTTTGCCCTTGTGATTCTACAGGATTTCCTATATATTTAAATATTCACTTTTTGTGTGTGCATACAAGGAATGGTATATGAATATACTGGTCTGGACTTCTTTCTGTGGAGGAAAATTGAGCATGATACAATTTGAAATTTATTTCCTCGTGCCCCACATGAATATCACCATTTCAGTGCAGCTGTAACCCATTCTGAGTTTTATCCACTAGGGTAAGTTTCTCTGAACTTTCCTTCCAGCTTTGTGAGTACCAGACCTAATCCAAACTCTTATAGTCAGTAAATGAATGCTTATAGTCTTCAGCTTATAGGTGTTGAGCTATTTCAAATCACTTAATCACATGTCAATGAGCATGGCCAGCATACAGTTTTGTGGCACAAATTATGGGTAAATGAAACAAGCACAAATAATTCTCAGGCTTACTCTTACCATTACAGAGGCAAGCACAGTACAGTATACAATCACAGAAATACAGGACTACAATGGGCCTGCAGCTATCATTAGGGCTATCAGACAGTGGCTATATAGACCATAAACATAACAGGCATGCCTAAATTATGGTTTTAAAAAGTACTTGTGCAGCTTGCATAATCAGTAGGAAACACAGACATTTTAATGCTCCAGTTGGACGGGGGGAGGATTTAAATTCTTAAGCAAAAAAAAATTCTGTATAAATATGTGAATGTGAGACGTGTATATATCTAAGCTCCATATGACTGGCAAAAAGTAAGGATGGAAAGTAATTTGACATTTCAGTCAATTAGCATTATTATTTCAAAGGATCAAAGGTGCACCGAATCCCATTTAACTGAATTGCTTTCAGATGACTTCTCTCATTATCATTTACTGGTATCACAATAACAAGCTAACAATAAAGGCAGTCACAATGCCAGAGAAGCAGAAGAACAAATCATCTATAAGTAGTTATGATGGTCTGAACTGCCTTTTTAATAGCTGCACTTTTCATGAAAAGACTTGTGACTGTTTCTGCAAGTGGAGCATCACTGACACCCCGTGGCTGCTTGATTGACCTGAAGAGTTTACACCAAATGCACCCACAACTCTTACCAGTCATGCAAACACTAACCAGAGAGAGAACCTGTTAAGTAGGTGGTATTTTTCATGATTTCTACTGATCACAGGGATCACAGAAAACAGCAATGATAACACACAGTCTTACACTCAGAAAACTTACAATACTCAAGAGACAACAGATAAAGTGAAAGTAAAGTAAGATACTGGTAATATAGTGTAAGAAGAGTGAGGAACACACAAAGAAATAAAAAAAAATGCAGAAGACAACCCCCTACTGCAAGGAGTAGAGATGGTAAGATACCAAATGATATCTTCAGAAATCCCCATCTTTTCTACAATACCAACACAGCAAAGCTAAATTTCTGTATCAGTACAAGGGGGTAAAACACTGCTGAAAGTAATGAAGCACTGCCATTTGGACCAGAAGACAAGTGCTAATATAAATTGATCTCTTAATGCATCACATTATTATTTTTAAGTCCTAAAATTCTCATAGATATTCCACATAGAAATGATAAGTGAAAATATAAGATTCCACACAAACAATATGGCTTGCTTTGTTTCAGCTGGCGCATCAGGCTATAGGTTGACCTATTAATCTGACACCTTTTTTTGATCTTTTACCTTTGAATGAGAGACACTGGCTTCCAAGATGGTATTGACAGTTTCTTCTGAAATATTGACAGAAGAACCAATGTCAAGCCTCAGCTGAGTAAGATTCTGCACATACTCTTTGACTTTCACATCTGGAAGAAAAGGGAAATAGTGCCAAAAGTACAAATCTGCTTAATTAGATTTCTCACAGATTGTATCCTTTTCATTGAATTTACTGTGAACAGTGGTAAAGGACAAAAACTTCATATCATGTAATTCACTTCAAATTTAAAGGTCACTCTTCTGTCAGACTTAAAGGGCTTCTGCATCTGTTTGCGTTATTCTACAAAAGCACTTGTTATCCCACATCCCTGTACTACAAAAATGTCTGAAATTAGTATAACAGCTTTTAGTCCACTCTGGTTTTCTCCTTTCACTAATTTAAGTCTTCTTTCTAATTAATCCCTACATCTTACTGGAAATGTTCTAGCTGAATGTACTATGCTGTCCTGTGCCAACTCAAGGTGCATGTATGGGTACATGTGTACAATGAAAATATATCGCATTACGTCAGTGGTCTACATAGGCAGTGTACCTTTGAATTTTGAAGAAGAAACAGTTATTGTCCTACAAAATTTCATAACAGTAGTTTACAAAAAAGTGAAGAAAACTGGAACCCACCATTCAAAAGATTTAAATTACTGAGAAGAGCAGCTGCTGGATTTTCTGACAATTGTAGCTCCAAATTTTCAGCCAACCTGAAATGATAGGCTTAATTTCACAAGTTATCAGAACAAAGTCATCGGTATTTCTATGCATAAAGACTAACGTGAATAGTGAAATGGCCACTAAATGAGGCAAAAAGGTCACATTATTCTCTATGTGCACACACTAGCACCTCTACAAACCTTCCCACACTGTATTTATATGGTGCAGGGATTATTTATATTCTGTGACTAGATGAGACTGCAAATGTAGGGTCTTCCCATAATGGCTAAGTGCTTTAGCAAACAGTAGTTTATGTAGAAGGACAGATTTAGCAATGTCTCACCTCCAGGTTTCTTACTGAACACACATTTTTAAAACCTAGAGATACAAATCACTGAAGTTCAGGATGAATAAAGTCTATCTAATTATAATTTAAGTAAGAAAGAGTATGCACACATCAGATATTATTTATTCTTCAAAAACTGGACATTAGTCCATGGCTTAGAGCAGCATCTAAGCTCAAGTTCTTTTGTATTATTACTGTAATTCACAGACACAATTCAAGCTCTTTATGAAAACAACCCAACAGCCAAACTAGTATAGCAACAATTATAACAATGACCAGTTCTAGGCGATAGCAAGTTTGAAATACTCTGTAGTGGCAGTTTTATTCATTCATTTACTATTTTTCTTCAAGTGAATAGAAAATATCAGGAGTTATTTGGAGTTTAATCTCATCAGTTTACAAACACCATCCCACATTTCTGACTGTTTGAACTGCTGAACTGATGTGAATGCTTCTGTTTTGCAAAAAGATATCCAGCTACTGAGAGGACAAGCCATATCAAAACAGCTTTAAACAAAAAATTTAGATATCAAAATTTTGACCTAACTCAAGTCATAGGAAACTGAAAACTTTCTTAGTTGCGATTCAAAGCATTTACCTGATGAAGCAGCAAGATTTTCTGCAAGTGCTCAGCAAAAATTAAAGGGCTTTTAGAAATATTCAGAGTTTTTATAATTTACTTAAATAATTTGTACATTTTATCCACTCAATTTTCAGTCAAATGAACAAAGTTTAAAATGACAATATTTCTCCTGCAATTACATAATTTAGAACACAGATGTGTACAGAATAACATTGCTAAAAATACAGAACTGTTTGGGGTACCAAAATGTAAAAAGTTTTACATTTGCAGTTGTCTCTGTATGTTCCCCAAAACTAGCTGACATTCACAGCTGTCATTTCTGGTATTCTGCAAGGCTTCCTGGAAGGTCTCCAAAGTATGGGAAAGTTTTTGGTTTATATATGCCATACTCTTGCAATCCCCCTTGTTGACAGTAGGCCACAATCTTTCAACATCCTGCAAAACACAGTGGTCATACAGTTAGTAAATTCATGAGATTGTGTTATTGCTTGAAGTAGCAGCTCTTGGCAACTAGATGATACAGATTTTCAAATGAGAATATGGGTAAAGTAATACTCTCTTACTGATTGTATGAGCAATTGAAAGAGGGTGAGAAGTTTTCAAGAACCAAGGAATTTTCAAATATTTGAATTTTGGAAACAGCCAAATTGGGAATTGGAACTAGCCTGTCAAGGAGATTATTCCACTACTATAAATGCAAACATTTTAATTTCAAATTTATTTCAAAATGAAATAAGCTTTTCTTTCTTTTTTCTTTTTTTATTTATTTATTTTAGGTTGACAATTTTTATCTTTTTCCCAAAAAATTGTTTTGAACATCAGTTTCCATTCAACAAACCGAAATATCTGGATACTCATATCCAAAATTTTTCATGCATTATGCTCTGTCTAATATGCACTTTTATATTTTCACCGGAATATGCATGTTTTTGATTTTGCAAGGCTGTTTTAATATTTGCAGGAGTAGGTCATAGAATGGTAGTGACTACAGAAACGCATTTGGTCCTCAAAATTCTACTTTGACATATTAATGATACCTCTTGTCATCTGTTTGTTTTAAAACGTTGGTGTTCATATCAGCAAAGTGTCCAGGTGAATGAAGTAGCAGAGCTATTTCATAAAAAGAAGGCAAATTCTATACTAAAAAGCATGACTTCAGTATTGGGTATGTGTGTGCTATCAAAAGACCTGCTTCCAGCTTTGGATGAGTTTCTATATGTCAAATATTACTTTCTCCAGCTGGTAGTTTCATGTAGAAAAGAAAAGAAAAACAGACTGACCCCAACTGGTAATCACAACTACTATTTTATCTGGAATTAATCTGTCTAAGAAGTGTATTCGTATCTAGTTTGATTTCACAACTGTTCCTGTGAAGATTTAAAAGTATAAATGTACTCTAATTCATTTAAAGAAATTAAAAATGAGCTGCTGTTTGATATTGATTTACAATCCAGTTATTCTAGTTGTAGGAATTCTAATAATTTTAGTCACACTTACAGCTTGCAAAGTTCACCATTGTTTACTTAAGGAATTTCTCCTGAATATCACTATCAAAATCATCAGAGCTATACCCATACAAACCTCAGCTTTCTATAGTCACCAAGGGGACTTGTCATTCAGAGTGTGGGAAAAAAGGAAACTCCCATTAGTTTCCAGAGTTTAATGCATGTTGTAAAGCACACTGGTAGGTGTGGGAACCACTCAAACCTGATAATGATCTTGAACCACAGTGATCCCTTCAATGATAGCAGGGAGCAAGTGACTTGGTAATCCATCTTTACACTTTGTAATGACACAGAAAATGTTGCCAAAGACAACTGGTTCTTCTGTAAGAGAAAATGTCCAGGTTTAATCAGTTAAAAACCTCATAAAAATGCTGGACTCAAAAGTTAGCCAACAAAGTTTTTAAAAGCAAAGAAAATCTGATGAGTTAAAGGCATAAAGAAATACGTCTAGCTAAATTTAGGTATCATTGTAGAGGGCAAGAAAGGCTGATTTGATTCAATTTCAATTACTCTTCTCCATTACACTTTCCTGGTCAATAATAAGAACATCAATACTTGCTACAGAACTAGAGAAAAAAATTTCATATTTGGTCTTTGTGAGCATAACTGTGAGAAACTGAGTATATCAAACGCGTCCACCTTCTCCTCAGTCAGGCTCCCCTGATCCTGTTTCCCCATAGAGACATTAGGATGTTACTAACCCTTCAGTGCACAGTAACTTTCAAACCCTAACTGCAAGGAGAGAGAAACAGCATTACATGGACATTTTCCATATCTAGGGATAATGAATCCCTATAGGGAAATTTATCACCTGATCATCCATGGAGGCAGTTTCTACCCAATATTGCAGCCCCCATGTCCTTGGAAAAAAGCTCCATTTCCCTGTCTGTAGTGGGTTTGTAAATGGAGTAGCAGTGAAGGAATTTGGCTTGACTGCTGAATTCTGATTTATAACCAGGACTGAGTTAGTTTTTTCAGCCATGTGGGTTGGGGTCTTTTCCCTTATGTTTGGTTCATAAGTCAAGTAGGAAGAATAATAAACATTCCCCACTGCTTCCAAAACAAGGAAATCTTGACCTTGCTCATAGAAGTAATACAGTATAACTCAGCAAATCAAACCAAGTCAAGCAGTTTTCATCTTTTCTCATTAGGTTTCAATGTTTTCTGTAACAAATGAAACATTATGAAACACTCTAATGACCAGAGTATTGAAATAAAAATTACAAGAATGTAGTTGCTGAATCTCGGTTCTCTCAATAGGCTGCTCTTCAGAGGTCAGATACAGAACCCAAGTACTTTCAGTATCACCTATTCACAACATCACACTGTTTTACTCTTTGAAACTACATCAGTCACAGGAGAGTGGAGAAGACAGTCAGAACTGGGTGACAATCACATAATCACATTTTATGGGTTTTTTGGAAATTAATTGGGCATAAAACATTACAAGCAATTGTGGGTATGGCTAGTTAAAATGTGATGTTTGAAAAGCACAGGCTTTTGTTTTCCAAAGAAAATATGATATGAAACAATTCTCAGGTCAATATAGAGCCTTTCTTAAAGTGCAAGACTTGGGGGTCTATACATAAGGAATAAAACGTTAAAATTGAACAATATGTTGAAGAGAAAGTCATTCAGCTACAGGTAGCCAATTCACTGGTTCAACATGGCCAGAAGTGGGAGGTGTTACTTCCTTTAAATACTTGCCCCATTTTTCCTTACTGTCAGCTACATGCTGCCTTGCAGCAACTCTGGCTCATTAAAAAAAAACCCTGTGACTTGACTCTGCTCACTAGCTGAAGAGGAGCAGCAAGACCTCCTGCTTCCACAGAGATTTGAATCAGCATGAACACTCCAGAAAGAAATCATCCCTTTGTTTGATCTGCATCAATTTTTTTCATGTGCCTTTGTTGGTTTAATCTCCAGACATCAATATGCTTACCTTTCTTGGCATCACCCAAATTAACTTATTTGTACACAAGTTTGCTTAAAGTAAAACCTTAACTTTACAGCACTAACACATATGGTGACCTACGGAGTCACTACTGGGTAACCAACCTGAAAAGATTTTGAGAATACTCAAAATGGTAAACTGCAATTTCTGCAATAGTAGAACACTATCAGGGTATAAATGTTCCTGAAGAATCTTGCAGATTTTAGATGCTCTGTAGAAACATTAATAAGAAAATATTATTTTCATAACAAGAGTACCACAGAAAATTTTCAACAGGTGACTGTGCACAACTGCACAGTTCAATGAACCACTTAAGGGTTTCAATACTATCACATTTGTCCAAGCTATTTCAAAAACAGAACATAATATTTCCACATTAAAAAAATACCTTAGGAGTGCTAGAGAGTATCTTTGCAAAGTGAGCAAAATTGTAATAACTTCAGAAATACTGAGAACTCACAGAATACGCTGACTTAAAGGCAAAGAGCAGAATATACAAAACTCTGATAATCATCACGTGGGGAAAATAAACCACTTTTCTAGTATTTGCTTTTGATTTTTCAACAGATTTGGCTAATACCTGGCCCTGCTGACCACTGGTTTCACATATTTGCATAAAATCAACCATAAAGGTCCCAATACCGCATTAGAGCCATGCATCAACTTCAGTATGCCATTTCTCAGCTGGTCTATGTCAATAGACCAGTAGCTCCATCAGCAAGACACCCTAGAGCTGTGTGGAGCAATCATCTTGTGGGCTCATTCAGTATTGTTCAAATGCAGCAACTCCAATCAAAGAGCACTTTCATATAAGTGTCAGTAAACATTTTCCCGAAGAAGAGTTTCCTCTGCTGCTGGATTGCATTTGATCTGAGTAATCAGACAAAAAATTATTTGGGTTCAAGATTTTTTCAGAAACTGCATTTGTTAAACTGAACAACTTACACTGTAACCATAGCATAAGACACCAACAAATTTAAGCTGAAGAAATTTCACATACGTACATTTGGATATAGGAAAAAAAAAAAAAAGAACTCACACACCACAAAGCATTAGTTCCAAGCATTCCTTAATATTTAGTACCATAGCCAAAAATGGCTGTTGCCCACCAATAACTGTGGGTTCAATATTCAGACCTGTAAGAATTTGAAAATACAAGTATCTTCAAATATTTGCTTTTATAATAATTCTAAAGGCCTCAACAATATAAGTTGGCAAAAATCTGAAATGAAACAGTAATTAACTTAATAAAAGTTTTGACTGAGCTGTTCATAAACAGAGAGCCCTTCTGTCGTCAGTGCACTTGTGAAAATGAGTACGTAGAAAACTCTCACCTCATTTCTGCCATTAAATCCTTATGCAAATCCTTTAGTAATAGTCTTATTTTGTTCCTGTCATGCTCTGCAGTAGACTGAAATATCACTTGCAAAATCTCTTGCATGATCTCCAGAGTTCTGTTTTGGGAGTGAGTAGAAGCTTCTCCATATTGTGCGTTATAAAAAAATGAGTCAATGAAGTCAACTATCTGAAGCTCAGTATTGTTTGTATGCGAGGCTTCTTCTTTTATACCAGCAAGATCAGCAATCATATGAAGGAGACCGTTTAGCAAAACTGAAGTAGCAGAGTGACTATGATTCAGTTTTTCTCCACTGAGATGACCGTCACCAAACAACGTACCAGTGTAGTCTTCCTTAGACTTATTTTGGAAAAGTTCCAGAAAGTGAATAATGTCTTTGACAGCCAGCAGTAGGTCATTTGATGAACTTTCATTAGTCATAAGGAGAATTAGAGCATGTATTATTTTAGTATAATTTTTATTGTTACACTCGCATAGAAAGCTCTTCACAATGCCTTGCATATCTTCAAAATTTCTTAATATAGCATCTACAGATGATGTCTTAAACCACTGTATTAAAACATCAGGAGCCACTGAAGAGGACTGTCCAGTCGCTAACTTTAGTAATTGAAACCCTTGGTCTACCACCACAAGTAACTGTTTAACACTAAAATTCACCAATAAATTTTCTATGCTTGTAACTAGAGGAAACCAGAAGTTCTCAAAGTTATCAGATATATTGCTATTTTCATTTAAAGCAGATATTATCATGAGCATTGAGTATGTCTGGTTTCCAACAGATGACAGTGTCATTAGAGGCTGAATTACAGAAAGAAAAGAAATGACAGCATCTGTATTCAGGAGTCGAGAAACTTCACTGGTCATATTCTTAACATTAGTAAGAACACTCTTAAGTGATGTTCTTGAATGTCTGTTCCAACTTAGGCCACCATAAAGATGTTCCAGAAGATCTTTGGCCATCTCCATTTCTACCACTGAAACACTGCCCAGTATTTCAATGATTTGTAAAGCTACTTGGCTCTTTGGTGTGGAGGAACAATTGATTGTATATGTATTATTCACATGCAGTGGCACAGCATAAAGGGATAGCTCGTTCCAAAAATCTAGCAGCTCTTTGAGAACTGAGCCATTTAAATGATGGACCTCAGAAAACTTCAAAAGAATAGAGTTCCATTCTTTGATCTGATGAAAAAAGCAAGTCAGATTGAGAGAAATATCCATCAGAAAGTCTTCCCTAGAGCAAGAGAAACTGTCCTCCAGAGTGATGAGTTTAAGCTCCTTAATGACTTCAATGACTGCATTATAACTAAGAGAAGAATTGCTATGCACAAAGTCACAAGGTTTGACAGTGGGATCATTCTGAGGTGCTGCTGTTGTCAGAGTCCAGCAGAATGCTGCAGAAAAACAGTCAGAGACCTCTGCAGGTTTATCAGATATGTCTGCCAGTGACTCCAATAACATTAGAAGACCTTCTACTTGATTAGAGAACTCCTCATCAGTAAACATTGGCATTTTTTCTTCCTGAGTCAGTATGAAAGCATATATTTCAGGTAGTGCTTCTGTAGTGTTTCCATGGGCTAATCTTTCCATAAGGCTGATGACATCAAAGAAGAGGTTGAACACATCTTCTACATCATAGAGCTCATCCTGTTCAAAAAATTGTGTTATTTGCCATAAGCCAGTCAGGTTCAAATGACAGGAAATGTTCTCAAATGCATCCCACCAGTCTGTTAAAGTTCCTAACTCAGAGTTCTCAATATAAAAAGGTTTGATATTTTTAAAGAAACTATCTATATTCCTCTGGACTTGTTTGAATCTACTTGTCAGGAACTCAACATCCATGTTTCTCATGTTTTGCACCAAGGCTACCATATGCTTTAGAAAGTCCTTTTCATCTCTTAATGGAAAGTCAGTAAAAGTGAGAGACTTGAAAATTTTAAGTGCCTTTCTTACCAGTTCAATATTTAGAGCTGCTGTTTCTACCAGTTTCTGCGGAAATGTTTTGTGTTCACTCTGCAAGTTTGAGTCAAGTTTTCTAATCACATTTTGAAAGAACTCCATCACCAAATTGATATTTTTCTCATGTAAGAAAGGTTCAATCTCAATGTCTGAATGAGAGAAGTTGTTTTCTTGAACTTCAGAAGTTCTATTTTTCAGAAGAGTTTGAATTTCTGACAAAAGTTCCACTGATAAATGCTGAATGCGATGAAAAGGATTAAGGAGCATTCTCAAAGTACTGTTAAATCCATGGATTGACTGACTAAAATCAGTCTTATTTGACATATACGAGTGCCCCGCTAAATCCCTGATAACCATTTGCATTTGCCCCCCAGATTTATTTAAAAGTCTAAAAATAAATTCAAGTCTATTAATTTCATCTTTTACATAAAAATCAGGGAGAATAAATTTTAAAGGTTGTGCTATGACATTGAAATAAACATTTACACAAATAACATCAGAACGGGATAGGGAACATTCAGGAAGTATCAAATTAAAAATGAAATTAACAAAGTCCATCACATTCATTAGCTTAGCATCTGTCTCAGTGTTTCCCAGAGATTGCAGAAGAAATAAAATATGTTTTGCACTTTCAAGGTGGGAAGATGACTTGTATTTTTCACTGAGATTACTTAATCCATGTATCCATCTGTTACAATCCTCTGCTTCATCCACTGTACTATAGAAGTTTAGAAAGGAATTAAGATGAGGTGAAAAATTTGTTTGCAAATAGCTTACGTTTTTCAGACCACTGTTCAAAATTAGTTTGGTAATATTCTGGAAAATGCTGATACAAACTATATATTTGTCTCGAGGTACACTTTTTAAAAAAGCAGTTGTGTCATTTATCTCAGTAAGAATAATTTCAAGTTCCTTTTGTGAGAGCTTGAGAATAGTAGAAAGGGAATTTCCAATGGAAAATACACCCACACCCTTATCTTCACCCTCAGATTCTCCTGAGATAAAAATATCAAGCCAAGAATTCAAAAACTCTCCATTAACAACCTTCAGTATAGATTTCTGCAATTCAGTTATCACGACTCCCATCATTTCTAAAACACTTTCTAAACTGTTGCCTTTAAGCAAGCTTGTGACATCAAATGCATTGTTAAATACATTTTGAAGACTAGCAAGGAAAGCCTCAAAATCTTTCCAGTCATTTAAATTACCACCTTCTTGAAATACAACTTTTAATATCTTCATTGCTTCTCTTGTAGACTCAAGAATATCTATAGCTGTATTATTGCATAGCTGGTCATGAGTTGCATTTAGAAGACTTTGGGAGAGATTTGCCAAATCATTTCTTAGACACACAAAAAAGGTTGAATTCAAATTTAAGATTTTAGATGCTTCTTCAAAAATCTCTGTCCACATTTGAAGCCATGTAAAAGTGCAGTGCAAAGCAGATAGCACACTTATGTTATCTCCCAAGTTTGTTAGATTAGACAGGACACTGTCCAATGGAAGCAGAAGTAAGTCATAAACCTCTGCTGAATGATCTGCAGAAGTAATATTTGCTAGATAAAAATCAGTGCACCCATTATTGACCAGGCATTCTTGAGAGATATCAAGAAACTCAGCCAAATAACAAAAGGCCGCTGTTCGGAGCTCTTCATCTATAAATAAAATTTTAAGGCTGCTCAGAGTGCCATAGACCACTCGCATCTCTTTTTTTCCATTCTGTGCAACAAACTGGGCCTGAAACTCTGTGTAGTTGTAAAATAATAGTAACTTTTCACACAGAGACTTACTGGTGAGGTTCCAGAGAAGGTCAAAAGTTTCAGACAGAAAATCAAAAACTAGATCCTTATTTTGGAAATCATGCCATACTTGAAAAGATAACATATTTTTTGAAGTCTCATAAAGAAATGTTAACAGAGTGCTATTGTTATGAATATTTAAGACCAGTTCATCATTCTGATACAGAGAGAAAATTATTGGAACAAGTGAGGCCACATTAGTATTGTTTAACTTCTGGACGTTTTTGAGGAAATCATGCACAATATCTCCTAATTCTTGTATCTTAGACATAAAAGTTGCATTTGAGAGAAATAAAGAGGAGGTATTACTCAATCCAGGAACTGTGGTGAAAGACACATTGACATGATCACTAGACAATGATCCAACTTCATAGAGATTTCTTAGGAAGTTTTCACTTAAATGTTTTAAATGGTTCAAAGTAGTAACATTTAACTCTGACCAGTCAGTCAGGACATTTTGTAGCAACACCATACTTCTACTATGGATTTTATTTTCTGCAATGGAAGATATAATTCTAGATAAGTTCTCAATTACCTCCTCCTCTTCCACTTGACTCATATGAGAAAGACTAGAACCAAGTTCAGAGAAGAAAATTTCAACTATATGCCATAAAACTTCTGTCTTCTTTTTTGACCAGAACCTCTGAAGAGGCTGGAATTCTTTTTGTAGCTCATTATGGAGTTCAGCAACTGCAAGTGAGAAATTGGTGACAGATTCCTCCCCCTGAGCAAAATTTTTCATCCATATTATTATATTATTCAAGGCGTTTTCAATTAGAGACTGGTTTGAAGAAGCTGAGGAATCAAACATTATAATTTCTTCTATGGCTTCTACAAGATGAAAAAGATGATCTGTTTCCTTTTCACCAGAAATCCTTAAGTTTTCTTCTCTCTTCAAAAACTCTTTGAAAGATGTCAAAGTCCTGAAAAATTAACCATAAGTTTTTTTCTTGTTAGTTACCTAATAGACAGACAGGAATTGGTTATATATATAATTTATAATTTTTGAATCTAGGGCTCTTTATTTAACCTGAAGAAATTCCAAATATAATTTAAATAGCAGTCACAAATTAACCACCACAAAATCTGAAATAGTACAAATTGACAATTGCTTTGGTTTTCAAAAACGTGAAAAAACTCACTGAAAACTCACAACTTCATTCAAATCAAAACCTGAATGTAGGCAGCTAGGTTAAGGAAATGTGCATTTACCAGTAATTATAATCAAGTTTGTGAGTCACAAAGAGTCAAACACCTTGAGTATGTCACATTTTCAACTGCTGAAAAGAGTAAAGCTTTTATGTTCCACAGACTAATTATTTTACAGAAAGGAATATATCAATGTAATTGATCAAAACCTCTGATTTTCTATGAATTCTGAAGAATTTTTTGTTTTCCCACAATTATTGAATGCTAAAATATTCCTACTGTCTGGTTGATACCTGAAGAATGCTATTTTAATACCTACCAAAAAACCCCCCAACCATGAAATCATAGTGAAAATTAGAATGCTCCAACGGACATTTCCATTATGTCTGTGTATTTATCAGAAGAAAAACCATTTACTAGCTCTGTAAGATTGGTCAAGAGGAGGTGCACAGTGAAAAACAGCCTTCCAATGCAAGGGTCTCAAAGTTAAAGATACCTTATCCTTAAATATATTTTCTTTCTCTCCAGATTCAGGACTCTGCAGTCAAAGAGGTAAAGCACAAAAACATTGTGCAGTGCAAGCAAAAAGGTAAAACTGCTGAAAAAATATGGTTTTTTTCTTGTGCAGTCACTATATCATCTACTTTGTAGTTTCATTACAACAGCAGTTTCCTTCTATAAATAAGAACTAAATTCCAAAATGCACTACTAAATTATTGAATTACTTGACTGCAATCTCTCTCTTATCAGTATATAATGGATTGTATCTTTCAGATTTATCCTCAGATGTTGATTTGTATAGCATGAATCATATGTCCTCCAGTGGTAGTGCTTTATATGAACAAGTAGAGTTATTACAGGCAATGGCAAATTGAGGCCAACATTATAGCTCCCAGAAGCAATGCAAGTCATCCAGCATGCATTTAGAAAGAGGAAAGTATCAGATCCTGTGCTGTGCTGTATACCTTTCTTGAGGCTTGCCAATTCTGACAAATATTAACTCCTTTCACCAACAACTCAAGTCCTCTGTAGAACCTTCCGCATCAGGAATATTTTAATAGTTTGACAAAACGTATCATTCTAAGTATAGAACTTACAGCCATATCTTCATATAAACTGCTTACATTTGCCTTGAGTGATAAACCAAATGGAGAACTTGGAATAGTAAGAAAAGTTTAAAAACATCAAAAGAAACCACAGCCTCAGGGTGCCCTAGATGAGATTGGAAACTACATACATACAATTAATGCTAAGTGTTTAAAATTCTGTAGCAGGTTTCTGCTACAAGATCTTCTACACAATTAACATGAGTTTGACTTCTACAATAAAAATCCAAAATGTTTCAGATGCACTGGACTTGCTGTACATAAGAAGCATTACTGAGCCACAGCAACTCTTTATGGGAATTAAACTTTGTTTGCAGAACAAGATAAAGAATTCAGGTCCTAATTCAAAATACCCAAATGCTGATTCCTTTGAGTCCTGATCGTGTAGTAGCCAGGTCCTCTGCTGAACCTGTAAGTAGCTGTACTCTGAAGCACAGACTTAATTTCTTTTTTTCAGAATGTGTAAGCATTAGCACAATTATTTGACTGTATATGAGGTTTTGAATTACAGAATAAAAAATAACACCACAAAACAGAAATTAATTAAATGCAATGTGAAAATGAATATTCAGGTTGATCTGAACTTCATAAAACAAGTTGCAGAAAGATAAGTATAACTTACCAATCATGAGATGCAGTATATCCTTCTGAAAAGTAGGCATCTGATTTCTCATTCCATTGCTGGATCAGGGTATTTATGACTGAAAAAAGTTTCCTGGCTTCCCTTTCATCTAGAAACTGAGATACTAAATCAGCTATGAGTCTTCTAAGTTCCAAAAGGAGATTCTGAGGGAGACTGCTGCTGCTAAGCCATTGCTCAATTATCTGGCAGATTGAATGCAAAATAGAACACCTAGTTACAGAATCAAAGCTTTCCTATTCATACAGTACACAGAATTTGCATGTCTTTTAAAAAAATCACACAATTAACAGTGACAGTAAAATTTCTCCCTAACAACCCTCTAGACTCTGAAATGACTGACCTTATGAAGGCTGATTTTCAGTACAGTTTTGACTGACCTGCAAATTGGCAATGCTTGTTCATACAGAGAACTAACCTCCTATGTATTGGTGTCCCTGTCCAAAGACCCAAGAACTGTAAAAAGATGGCCTGAGACTGAAACCAATCAAAAGCTGACCTCCACAGTCTCAGGCTTCCCATACCAGAATTCTGCCTATACTGCCAACACAATGGAAGCCAGCAACCCTAACATTTTTTGGGGTCCATCTCACAAAGAGATGGAAAAAAGCCCCATATTTTAGTATAAAAACAAACATCAATGTTAAGGCAACTAGGTGTTTTCCTTAGGAAACATCTGGGTGTTTTATCTTTTCCTCCATGCAACTACACGCATGTCATTATAGAGACTGTATGCCAAGCTGTTCTGCTAGATCAGAATGCTGTAGTGGAGGTTTGCTTTCATCTCTTTCAACCTTCTTTTGCCTCTGTTGCCAGAGCTAGTGAAGGGGAATTAAACATAAATTAATTATTCATTAATTATAAGTGGAGGCCTCCAGTCATCTTTTAGTTTTGCCCAACATTCAGTCTCAGGTGGGACAGATCTTCCCTCTGACAGGTCTCTGCAGTGCAGTATATTTCACTATATTCCCTGTAAGATTGCAAACCTGAATCTCAGTTAATGAGAAAATTTGATTTAAGTGGACACACGGTGATAGATTATACTTCCACTGTAATGATTCTTTATAAGGATTACTTCATCGTATTAGCAAGATGATGAGAATTCATGAAAATAACAGATCTTTTAACTAAGTTACTGCTGACAGCCTACATGCAAAAATTACAGATTCAATCTATTATCTTATTAAAATGTACCTGTGTATAAAGTCTGAGCTTGCTGACAGCGTGAACAAGATACAGTTTGGCCTCATGCCGTGCAGAAATGCAGCCCTGTCCATTATTCTCTTTGTTTGCTTCATCTTCTGGCACACTGGACAGAGCAGAGCATACAAACTGCTCCAGTGTCTCTCCTGTGGGAATCTGGCAGGGACATATGAAATTAATGAGTATCTCAAGAGAGCTGCTGAGTGTTATCTCTGCTATCAATTTACTTATCTAGCAAAAATAAGAATATCACATAGCCTTCTTCAGTGAGAACAAAGCCCCCTCATATTCTGGGGGCATATACTTCAAAGTACTCCACATGCAGCAAACTGTTGTACAAAATACCAGCGGCCCCATAAAATAGGCAGAATGAGGAGGTGCACAGCAAAAATTTCACCATGTAGCTACACCAGTGTTGCTACTTCTACAGTAATTTGCAGACTGGTGCTGAACTAACTTGACCACAATACAGTACACCTACAGTAGAATAACTATATTGGAACAACTTTACAAATATAAAAATTATGGATATAAAAAGCATTTAGTACAATGATACATCTCAACCAAAGACTACATGCAGCAGAGTAGTTTTAAATTGAAGTTTCAACAGAGTGGCCAAGAGATCAGAATTTTTCCCCCATGGACTGATTTTTAAATTCTGTGATATTTATTATTCCAAATCATATAAATATTATTAAAGCATACAAAAATAGTTCCATACATTTTAATTATTATTATCATTGTCATTCTGAGGTACTTCATCCTAACTCCTTTCAATTTTGACCAGAGAATTTATAAAAATTTTCACGGATGTTTTGACACCAAACAAAATGGGGCATTAGATGCAGAATTGAAGTGCTCGAAACAGACATTATCCAGACTTCCACCTTTCCCTTCATACTTTTTGATGGTCTTCAATGCTCTAACACAAGGACAAAATATTAAGATATTAGCTTAAATAGTTAGTAAGTGAGTAGCCTGGAATTTCACAGTCAGTCATGGCTACCAAGCTGCAGTTGAATTCAGTTCAGTTGATCAAATAAACCATCACTGATATTTCATTTAAAGGCCATTCAAAAGTCAAGGAATTTTTATAATTTATTCTTTTGTTTAAATCTACTATTTTTACAATAAGCTCTTTTGGAATATAACTAAGCTCTATCTTGCAAAGAACAAACAGATTTCACATAAATATTAACATGTTTTACTAGAAAAAACTGCGGACTTAAGTAGAATTGCAAAAGAAGTTTCAAGATTTCTGCAGTTCAAAAATCAGACTACCACAACAGTTCACTTTAGTCTAGAAGATAGGTTAGAAACTCCTCTCTGAGGAAAGAGATTTTCTTCTAAGTTTGATACATAACCAGTATATTTGATTAAGGCCCACTGAGCAATAAGCAGATAAAGCTTCTTGATTAATTCCCACTGAGACAATTCAGTCAAGTATATTCATATCAAGACTGCACAACTGAGAAGAAAAGATTTTTGATATGCTTTAATTTACGCACAGAAGACACAGGTATTCTTTGTTCAGCAAACCAGACGAAAAATGCAACTAGCCAAGGTAATCCTGGTAGATTCAAATCTAGAATTTGGTTTGAAAGCTTAGTGGAGCAACCCTCAGAATTCTCTACAGGATTGGGTAATAAACCTGGGACTCTGCCATACTCAGTTGTGACTTTAGAGAAGTATAAATTAATCAATGTAAACAACTAGACCTATCAGCATCTTCATGTGCAGAAATTTCAGCTGAAGCTAAATACATTTCTTTTGATGGGAATGAAGCCAGAATACTTAACAGTCTTGTAGTTGCTTCATAAATCTAAGATATGACCACAGCTTCTGAAAGGCATGTAAAACCCCTTTAGGGTACAAATAAAACAAAATATTAAAGAGAAGGACACCAAAATTTTCAACCAATTTACCTTTGTTAATTGTGCTGTATAACTTAGCAGCTTCTCAACATGAGGACCGTCAAAACCAAACCTGGATTCAAGTTCTGCTTTCACCGCAAGTGGATTCCACAAAACATCTCCAAAAGAAAGATTGTATTGAAAACCTGAAAGAAAGGAAACCTTCTATTTACATAATTCCTTCTTTTTGTTCATGTTGTTTCTTGATGATTCATACTTGATGAGATTCAAGTACCACGTTCCCAGTTTTTCAGTGGCTTGGGGGCAGAAAGCATGTATCTGAACACCAATTTCACTAGGATAAAATCCGTGATTGCACTAGTGGTAAGGTCACTTGATCTGATGGTATTTCAATAGTTGATATGATGATGGTGAGATGTCCTTGCACAGTGACTGCCAGCAGACTCGGCAGGGTGCCATTCTAAACTGCACATAGTCATGCAAATGTGTATGTATGGACTGGATATGAATCTTTGCCAAGAAGGAGAGCACCAGGGCAATACCAGAAATCCCAGAGAATTCAAGTTCATCCTCTGTGCAAGGGCTCCAGCACATCTACCTTATACCACTTCAGCCTTTGTTTTGGCAGGTGAAGTGGGATTTAGACAGCATATTACTCTTAGCCTGACCTTCAATGCTGAGAACACAGCTGCACCTAGAATCTAATTGTGTGCTCCAGTTTGCCAGTGAAACTTGTTCCTGACCTTTTCTTGAGGAGTTGTCCTGGGGCCAGCCTACCTTCTCCAATTAAACTCATCTCCCATAGTGAAGCAGCAGATGGAGATATGTAGCCCTTCAGCTGAGAGCAGAAGTTATGAGAACAGAAGAATGAAGTTTAAAGTAAGCCAGTCATAATGCTTAACATGCATGTCCAAAACAAGATGCTATCTCTCTATCAAATGGAAGAAATTGTCCTTTGTATTGATTAATTTTTTCTCTGAAATTCACCACTGAAAGACCATTCTAAACATGATGTACTAGACTAATGTGCTTTGTTTATCAAATAGTTGCCAGAGTCTGATAAAATTTAGTTATTAGCCCTTTAAAAGCAGATCAATAAAGAAATGAGCTAGTACAGTTCTTAGACACCAGAAACTGAGCAGAGGATCTGACAGTTACTAATTTTGCATATTCCCAGCATGCTAACTAGATACTTCAAAGAAAATCTTCAGCAAATGTCTTACCTTCTAAGCTCCTATCTTGTACTGATGCAACAGTTAAATTCAGTGCTATTTTCACCACTTCATAGAAATTTTGGCCTAACGGCATCATAGCTAAATCCTTCAATGATGCTAAGGTACTGAAAGAGAAAAATAAAACAAAAATCAATCTCTCTATACAACCAAAAAACCTGAAAGGACTTGCTAGAAAGAGATGGCCTTCAAGCAAGTGAAAAATAAACCACTTTTTTACTGTTGAAAAAACACTGTTGTTTTATCAAATTAGACTTTTCATGAACAAAACACAAAATGAGATTTTACAGTTAGAGTTTCACTCAACTTTCATTAAGGAAATGTCTCCTAGGAGTCTAATGTCCTCTAAAAAAAGAGAGAGAGAGAGAAAATGTGAGCATATCAGCAAAAATAGGAGCAAAACCACCACAGTCTCCCAGTTATCCCTACGACAAGGCAGGATCAGCACAGAATACTTAGATTTTACTTCCAGTCAATCTGCAAGGAAACAAAAAAGTATTTTTAAAGCAACAGAACATTTATACTCACAAGAAGTTAAACAAAGCACAATAACAGAATGCATTGATAAAAGTATATCTATTGAATTTCTTACAAGTTCCAGTCTCAGTCAACTTATTTGTGAAACACATTCTTTGTTAATGTAGCTGTAGCTGTAATTTACTGCTTAAAGTTTATGTCAAATTTACCAGTTATTTCCTACAGACTTATCCTTTCTCATTATGCAAATAAGAATCCAGTTTTCCAGAGTGGTTCAGCAGTTTCCAACATATTCAAGAGAGGAAAAAAAAAAAAAAAGAAAAAAAATAACCTGGTCACATAGGTGTGAAAAGTCTCTTTTATGTACCTCTGAGAGACACAGTAAGCATGGTACAGCTCAGAACATGGGAGATATAAATTTAGGAACCTTTCTGCTGGCTAAATCCTACCTTAGATAAGAATGTAAGATAGCAAGTCACAAAGTAAGCATTGGGGTTTGTGGTTTGCTTTCCAAATTGCATTAGTGATAGAAAATTTGGTCATTGAAGGGCACCAGAGTCTTAAAAAAACTCCAAATGAACAAGGCACAAAGATCCATATGTAAACATCTGAGTTGCCTTGTATTAATCACTCACGTAGCCAAGCACCTACACAGCTGTTCATTTACTCCCTTCTCCCACAGGACAGGAAGAAAATAAACGGAAGGCATAAAGACTCATGGGTCAATCTAGAAATAGTTTAATAAGTGATGCAAAAGCTGTGCATGCAAGTGACACAAAACCAAAAATTCATTCCCCACTTTTCATCAACAGCCAGATGTTTTCCGGGAACCAGGGTCTCCACATGCCAGCAGTTGCATGGGAAGACAAACACCATAACCATGAACACCCTTCACTTTTGTCCTCTTGTCACTCTCTCCATGCTAGAGGCTCAGGGTAGAGAATTTTCTACCGAGATTGTATTTACAGATTCATAACTTCACTCAGCACAGCAGCCAGTGGTTACTGTAGTCTGTGCATACTGTTGCTGAAGAAGAAAAGAAATAACCATAAACTTACAATCAAGTTCCTCTTTTATCTCATGAATACTTGGATGCTGGAAGTTGTTTATTTTATTAAGTAGCCAGTGAGAAGAACAAGAATTGCCAATAAAATTTTAAAACGGAGGACTTTCAAGAACGTAAAAGTACTCACTTTTGAATAATCTTTAGAAACTCTGCTATGGAAGCTAACTCATCTTCTGTAAAAAAGCTGTTCAGTTCAAGACGAGGGAGTGAATGCAGAAAGTTCCAGAAATATGGCTGTTTGTACAGATTTTCTGCTCTAGAAATCATTTTCTCTGCTTCATTCAAATCCATCTTAAGGTGAAAAAAAAAAAAAACCACCAAACAATTACATGCAACACTTCCATTAACAGGAAAAAAAAAATTAAAAAAAGAGTGCCTGTTATTTCCCCAACCCTCTTGAATTTTAAACCATTTGAATATTTTTCCTGAGTGGAAACATACCTCTAGCTTTGGTAATATACCACACCATTTTGGTCGTACTTTGAACTTATGGCAGCTATGTTTCAGATGTGTTTCTTTGCTCTGATGGAAAAATGGACCTAGGAGAAGAGCTAAGGAATCTCTTTCTTTTCAGAAGTAACTCTTCCCCAATGAGAAGGATTGTCTTTTAGATCTCAAGCACAAGGAACTCTTTAGCCCTGCAATGAATTTCTAAGTCTAGGGTATAAAGACCAGGGGACTGCCCAGGACAAGCCATCCTTGCAGGGTTTGCAGGGGTCTCAAATAATGATTTATAAAAATTAAAGATTAACTGAGATAAAAATCCTTCCTTTATAGGACTACACAGTAAGATGGCTCTGCAAAAAAGGGTTTATCACACTTGTTTACTATGATGTCTTTGCTTATCTAAATTAATATTTCAATAGGGCTTTTTTGGATAATGGTGGCATGAACATAGTTTATACAAAAAAGAAGCTTGTGCATACAAACTCTGTTACTAGTAGTGATTGGCTGCTGTTAACTAAATATTTTCTTAATGTTGAGGAATACATTCTCTCTGTTTTATATTCCCAAAATGAAATTTGATATTGATATGTCTCCTTTCAGTCAAGCATCTTATGAGCAATTAAAAATGTTACTACAAAAATGCCATCTAATTTCAAGTTGTAAACTGGAAATCCAGGTTTCATGAAGTAGCTGTTACAGTCAATCAAATATGGGAAAATTGACAGTAATGGAGATCTATTACAGTGGCCATTCAGCCTTCCTTTCGTTGTTGAGAATGCAAGGGCGAAGGCCTAATGCATTAGGGACAGCACAAAGACCAAATTCATTTCACATTAACTGCCAAAGAGATTCTGGAAGGAATTATGCTACGTCTTGCACATCTCTCCTTTTTCATCCCCTTGCTTGCCCGATTTATTGGATCACAAACCTGAATTCAGTGTTATCCCATCCAAGCAAGAGCCTCATCTCTTCAATCTCACTCAGTCGTTTTTTACATTTTGGGTTGGATTTCTATTGTTGTGCTTTTTTTGGTTAGTTTTGCTTGTTTGTTTCTTAAATAATAATGTTTCTTATTTAGGATAAGAGTTCCTTGCAAGACATTTTGTAAAATTATTTTATACAGCTGCACATGATCTGGCAGATGCACTTTTAAATTGCTCCTAATGAATGGTTAGTCTTCAAATAGTTGTGGATTTTAGCTACTAACAACCTAGACTGGCTTAAACCAGTAATTTAGAATCCACCAAACCTCTATCAAATTTCAAGATGTTATTGTTTCCTTCAACCATATGTCAATTTCTTTTAAGGATAGTTTACTTAAATTTGACAGGACACAAATTTCTAACCATTATAATAAAGATACCTCAAAACCCAGAACTGTAATTTAGAAATAGATTGTAAAAATACTTACAGAAAGAAAAGTGGTGATGTTATGGAGCCCTGTAAAATCAAATATTTTCCTTTACAGAGAGGCATTATTAACTTCAGAAGAATCAATATTATAAGCAACAGCAAGCAGTTCAAAAAGGGTATTTCTACAGAAGTAAAGGTATGTGAAGCAACTAATATCCCAGAAAGGTAGTGATCCATTGGATTTTCTGTGCTTCCCAATACTTATACTATTATCACAAAAACAATTTAAAAGACAGTGCTTACCATTCACTTTTCAGTGAGACGAAATCGTCACATCAGCTCTAGATGGATGTACTAGCTGCCAGACAGCCAGGCATGAAAATTACCATTTCACCTAAATCTAACTGCTTGAAAACCAGCCAGAAAGGCAAGATAGTGTTAGGTCTTAAATGCCCGCCTGCTACAGCAGCGATGCTGCACAGTATGGGTGGGAATAGAACAGGAGCATCATACCCTGGTATTTCCAGTTTCACTGTTTCAATACAAGACTGAAGGTCACCGAGGATCACCAGGTGTGAGCTACTGAGGTTCTCCATCCCTATACTATTTAGTATAATAGAAATATAGCCTAATAAACTACTTTTCAATACAGTTAGACCAAGTAACCTTGTACTCGGATTATTAATCCTTATCTTTAAGCCTTTCCCCTCACACTATTTTCTTAACTTTCAAGTAGTACAAGGGTATAATTTTAGAAAGTTAACTTTTTTTTCTGATAATTTTGATGGCCACAATGATATTAATGATAAAAGGGGGGGGGGTTTCAGACCAGCTAATTAGTTTGCTAATTTTATTTTTAATATAAAAGTATTCTTTTGTTTGACAGTTTACCTGATAGGAAAAGAAATTAATTTTTAGAAGGATTACACTTTACCTGAAAACCTTGAGTTTTCTTCCCACAGTTTTTCTAAAGCCATGGCTTTCTCTGTAGTATCAATAAATTCCTTTGCAAGTTCTTCTATCTCTCTCATGAAGTCTAGATCAGGTCCGGTGACTTTCTCTGGACCACTTTGAGTGCTTGCAGTAGTTTTGGACAGAAAGAAGAGGGATAGGTGAGATAATCACAAACTGAAAGCAAGTAGTTGATAACTGTGTATACAATCACAGCAGTACTCTGATTTTTTAAACTCTTATGCATTTATACAACTTCTATTTAGTTTGATTCATTAGCATGCAAGTTGCTGTAGTGAGTCTCAAAACCTCAGGAAAGAGGGCAATGAAAAATTGCTGAGCTCACTTATGCCAGTAATCCAATTCTGACAGCAGCCAAGGACAGACACATACAAAGAAGTCTTTAATGTTTCTGAACACACTCAACTTTTCTTCTCTAGTTTGTCACACTTCCAGGTGATGGTTCTCTGATGAGAAAGTTCAAGCTTTCCTATTGCATCTAAGACAACAATTTGTTTTTTTCAAATATATACAGCAAGCTATAAAAACAGCATCTTATTCTCACTGTTGGTTTTTCCCTGATTTTAGCTTACAGCCATAGTCCTGGTAAATGTTATCTCTGCCACACTACTATCTGGTGGCTCACTTCATAGCACAACAACTTTCTAACAATACTTTCAAATGAAATCAGACGTCAGAGTCATTTAAACCCCTCTTTACGGGACAAAATTACTTAGACTGTCCTAAGACACCATAAACAATGGAATAATTATATTTAGCCACTTACTAGGGAGTTGAATTCTGTATTCTCTTATAGGAAATTCAAATAATTTCAAGACTTAAATCCTGTCTAGCAAAAATATTGCTATTTTTCATTAGAAGTACTATTACACAGAATGGGTAAGGTTGGAAAGGACCACAGTGGGTCATCTGGTCTAACCTCCCTGCTCATGCACATGGCACAGGATTGTGTCCAGTCAGTTCGTGAATATCTCCAGTGAGGGAGACTCCACAGCATCTCTGGGCAATCTGCTCCAGCACTTGATCACCCACACAGTAAAGTTCTTCCTCATATTCAGGTGGAACTTCTTGTGCCTCAGTTTCTGCCCATTGCTTCTTGTCCTACTCCACTTACAAAAATATAATAAAGACTTACATTCCTTTCTTGTAAAGCTTGTATGTCAACATTTGCTTTCAGCACAACTTTTACTTACTGAAAGAAAAGCCTAATGAGATAGATTCACAAACCAAAGCAAACTATCAGCAACAACTTTCTGATTCTCTCATTTCTCTTTCTTTCTTTTCTTGATCTTCATTTGATCAGACACCCACAGAAGTGTCTGCAACTTTAGACTAAGGAATACAAAGAAAATTTAATCTTAAAACAATCAAGTTCTTGATTGTTTCAGAACAGCTTATTTTTATCCCAACTCGACTGACAACCAATAGGGTTTTGGAAAATAGTTTCAGCATCCTCAAATTTCAGTGGATTAAAGGCAGAACAATTCTTTACTACATTTTTTTCCCTTTTAAATTGAGTTTTAAAAAGCAGGTTTCTTCAGTCCAGAAGGTGGTTGTTATGGTGATTAAAAGCTGCACTTTAGCTATTGCTTTCAAAAACTACCATATAAATTCCAATATTACTAACAATCCCACTGCCTGAAATTTTAGACAGTTAAGAACACTGATGTTTAGCAAAGAGCTGCAACATTAACTGTATACTGAAAATTTCCTAGCACTCTACTTTTTGAGCATGAACAGGTGGCCAGCACTTGATCAGAATAACAACAACCAGTCAGAACTTTAAAAAACCAGAACTCTAGCTCAGTTTCCACAGAATTTTCCACAAATTTTGGTTGAGGGTTTTTTGTGGGGTTTGGGGCAGGAGGAGGTGTGTTGCAGTTTGTTTGTGGGTTTTTTTATACTTGCTGAACTTAAAATTGACAACTAAACTCTCTTAACAAGGTAATCTAAAATAAAGTATTCAGAGAAGTGAAGTATAACAGCAGTATTTCAAACCACATTGTTCTCCCTCCAAGCTAGACACAAGCCTTGTATCCCTATCCACAAATCTCCCTGTTTTAGAAGCATTGCAAACAACAATGCTCTGGGGGGAAAAGGTCACCTTACATAGGAACACACAGCTGAACTCAGTGCTGTCTCCAGGGTTGCTGGTGCTGCCGGCCTCCCTGTCAGCAGCAGGGGGCACAGATAGCAGTGACAGGGGAGTTAAAAACTCCCTTTCCCCACCTCCCTTCTTCAATCACTGACTCTGCTGCACATTGGATCTGCAATTCTTGGTTTGATAAAGATCAGGGAAACAAAAAAAACCATCCTCTTGGCATCTAATTTTATGTGCTTTAGCCACCTGTTTGAGACATAGCAGAACACAACAGACACACCGGCTGAACCGACGGTCAGCTGGGCTGTCCTTTCAGTGTTCCCAGGCTTGAGGACTAGGAAAACAAGCTACTGCCCTGTGAGAGGTCCCATGGAGTACATGGGGCAGGGGAAATCGGACTGAGGAAGATACACAGTCTAGGAACATGAAAGAAAACAGGTGGCCGCACTTGGTGGCTCTGAAGAGTTACAGGGTGAAATGCAGGGAAAAGCAAGTTGATGGTGAAACTGGAGAGGGATCTAGGAAACAGTAGGGGGCTGTAGATATCTCGGGTATGGTAGAAGGACCAAACCCCAGGCATAAGAACCGGCTATTACAGAAGAGGATGTGCAGGCTAAAAGACCCATAGAAACACCACACTCCCAAGCACAAGCCTCTCAGCAGGACAAGAGCAGCTGTTAGTGAGCTATTAGCTTCATGGGGATTTACAGGGCAGCAGCGATGTCAGCAGCTGCCATGCCCCTCTTTTGCAGTCATTGCCACAGCTCTTCCTCTGGTTACCCTTGGAGATGACCACAACTCCTTTGGAAGGGGAATTAGCAAAGGGCATGATATCGGTTATCAGGCTCAGTTTTATGAAACAGATGAAAATATTACAGAGATTTTTATTTCACCATCTTGCCAGAAAGAAACTAGACTTCAAGACCAGATGCAGGGGCTGTCAAGGCAAACAATTTTCAGAGACTGTGTCAACAAAAATACTTAATTGTTGTACTGCTGCTCTCCCAAAGAGTCTTCAATGTGTGCTTTCTGGAGCAGAAGGCAACATTTACTCCCTTGTGTGTCCATGTGTAAAGGAAGTCAAGCAGCAGTTCCCAGGAAGTTCCTAGCAGCAGTTGCTAGGAATGATAAAGAGGAGAAGCAAGGGATGACAAAAAGAACAAAAGGAGGAAGCCCGTAATTTGTATAAGAGGACATACATAGTTAGAAGTGAGATGTTAGGAGAAAATGTGTGTGTCTATATATAATTTCATTATCGTCCATTCTAACTCTTCCCTTAATTGTGCATGAGTACAGAAATCAAACTAAAGATATACATTGGTACAAGTTTTGAACATGACAAAATTCTGCAAAAGAGCAAAAAGACTCTGCAATATCTTTGAGCATGTAAGAGCAACTGTCATTTCTAAAAGCCATGACTCAGAAATGCTAATTCTGTCCAAATTACTAAATTACTCAGGATGACAATAAGAACTTTTCAGAGATTATCTGAAATCTCAGCTATGATATGAAATGCCATTTAGACTGATGATTTTCATAAGCCTCTCAGCAAACTCTTGTCTCAACCTCATCCCTGTCACCACATTAAAAATTCCTCTCAAATTGCAAAGCCCCAGCTGTGCCATTCTGCACCATCTCAGAACAGCCTGGAGACATGACATCTCCATCAACACCAATACACACGCTGGACAATGACAAACTGCACGTCTGTCACAGAAAGATCTTTCCCCTCCATGTTGCGTACAGTTACAACCTTTGTAAAATGCAGTGGACCAAAATTTATAAAGAAACAAAAAAAAGTGTTCTTCTTAATTGGTTATAAAACATAGAAAATTCATGTTTAAGTTTCCTTTTCTCCCCAACTCTCTGACAGTCTTTAAGAAAGACCACAAAATTTTTTTCTGTTTCTGTTTTCCAGTTACACAGCCCAAGACTACAAAAGCTGGCCCAGACCACATAGAGCTACTATTCTAATAAGTTGCTGCAGACATACAGCTATCTTGCAGAATTATTTATCTTCTCATTGGAAGATACACATCATTAAGTAAAAATCTGACCCTTTAAGCAAGTCTTACGTGAATACTATCACTGATGCTTAGACTTTCCTTGATTTTGTTTTCCCACACTGGTTCTCGTACATGAGGTCTTCTAATGCTACTCCACTGAAGAACCACAGAAGACTGCGTATCGATCAAATTAAAGTTTTAGACCAGTAAGAAGAAAGGGACTGGTGTAAGCAGGGCTGCTTCAGGATGGGGGGCCAAGCTGAGGCAACTCTGGAAGAGTCCATGCCCTCACCAACAGGGCACCCTTCCCCAGGACTGCAGCCAGCAGGCAGACCTGGGACTGTGTTACAGACTCCAGAGACAGCCCCAACACAGCAGGATGAGCCCAATAGCCCAGTCTGGTGCAAAAAGAGATAGAGCTACCTTGTAGTTATGAGTGGCCCATACAGCAGAAGAGCCAGAGACAGACCCAGTGCTCCACCACACCTACTGGGTGAGCCTGCTCAGGCTGCTGCTACTTGTAGCTAATTAAAGAGAAATATAATTAATTCTAGATTGCTTAGAAATAATATTTTAGAGTCTTGTTTTCATGATCTTTGTAGTTCTAAGTCTGAGAAAGCATGAGCTTAATCTTCTTTTGGGTATTGAGAAGTCTAACAAACATAGATCTAGGAGTTCGAGATGCAGGGACAAAGCCCCACCACATTCTTCAAGATTTGCAGTGGAATTCAGAGTATTAGGAAGACATTATGTTTCCATGCACACGCACAGAAACACATGGGTGTACAGCCATAGGATTCTGTGCTGCATGGCTTTTATCTTATTTGCATTTTCTCAGTTTTATGCTGTGCTCCACTAAGATGAGGTGGGGAGTCGAACATTCTGGAAAGAGTAGGGGAAAAAAGTCCTTTGCCATGACAGCTCCTAATAGTTCCTTACTCCTCTGCTCTGAGGTACTGCTGGATGTATCAGGCTAGGGAATCACATCAGTGAGCTGCCAGTCAGCAGCCTTTTCAATGGCTTAAGAGAGGAGCAAAGAGCAAAGCCACGGAACTGTTGAAAAATGGATGCCTTCTGAGGTATCAGAGGAGGTGGCAGAACTTTCTGCAAATCAGAGTTAATGAAGTAGTTGTAGCCTTCACCTGGCTCATCTTTTCACCACATTACAGGCTGTTTCTTGAAGGGATAATGAGGGCATGGCCTGCACCACGATGACTTTACCCCTGGCCTCAGCCACCCTCTTGGAGCAGCCCTGCTCAGGTTTCTCACTGACAAATAGTTATTTTGGTGGTTTATGGCTTCCTTGGAGGTTCCAACAGTAGTCACAGAACTACTTTCTCCCAAAGACAACTACTGCATTTCAAATTGATAGCACCAATGTGGTACACATTGTGAAAACAAATGGCTTAAGTGACCACGCAACCTATGCACAGTCTTTGATTTACCCTTAATAAACACAACATTGTTGACACAAAAAAGGTCCTATATAAAATTTATTGTTTGAAATAAATCCTCAAAGGGAAGATAATTGATATTACTGTTCCTATGCCATCCCATCTTTCCAGTCAACAGAGACATTGTAGGATTTGGTTGATCAAGCTGACAGTCTGTTTTCCTAAGGCTGTCGGCAGCCAGCATAAGTCAGAGCAGCCCTGAGGTTGATTTAATCTATACTGATGGACCTGGTGGAACAGACTGACCTCAGAATGAACTTCATCCTACCTTTTTAGCCTTTTTCCTTACCTAGGCTATATGCTACTCAGTGTAGCTTATTGAGTGTATAAATATGGATACACGCATGCATTTTATTTTTCAGTTGAAAAATTGAAAGCCACTGAATAATTTCCCTAATTCTTAAGTAGGTCTAAGACTGCCCCCAGGAAATTCTTTCCTGCTTTTCTTTTGAGCTGAAATATAATTTGGGCAGTTCAGCCAAAGCAGTGTAAATAATCATGCAGAGTAGTCAATATTGTTCATAGTTTCCAGAGGTTTAACACATTTAGATGGCATCTGGACCACTGATATAAATAAAAAGTATCCTTTCAAGAAACTATTTTTTAAAAGGCCAACAATTTTTGTAACTCCATAACCCAGTAATATAGTGCTGCCACTACAAGTAACAGGCTCTAGGCTTAGTACTGAGTTTGCAAGACCGTGGCACAGAGTTTTGCCACCTTTGCTTTGTCTAAACTTATCTTAATAAGCCTTCAGTTTTGTTTTTGACTTGGATTAGTTTTACCTTTTCTTTTTGTTGTTTTTTTTTTTTCTGGCCATATGACTACGGCTATTTGCTTTACTTTCATTTGCCATTGTATAGTGCCACTATAGTTTTACACAGATAGAAGTAACAAGTGACCATTTAGTGCAGAATGAGATATTTATGATTAACAAAACAGTGCAGAAGAACACAGGCTCAGTATAATAGCAAGCGCCTTGAGAAGCGGGGACATGGGATGCACTGTACTGGAATACAAGTCTGGGATGATAAGAAAAGGGGAACAGGCCCTTTTCTCACAGGTTCTGAGAACCCCATGACTATAAACAATTCACCAGTGCTCATTTAAAATGCAGAACTGTAACTGGACAACACAAATTTATACTTATCAAGTAAAAAAAGCCAAGGTAGCTAACAAATGTAAAAGATACCATACACATTCAGGTGTACCACATAAATTTAGATGTATCATAGAGATGAAAACAAATGGAGAACAAGTAAGGTATAAAAGCACATCAGTAAACATAAGTGACCCCCCAAATACACCCTAGAGGGAAAAAGAAACCATCAACACCACATTCCTCCAAGCAAAGGACTACAGACTTGCCGTGACAACCACATCACCACCCAGCTGCGGCCACCGACATTATGACTCAGAGCTGCAGTGGAAAGGTAAGTACAACCCCAGGGAAAGAACTAGAAACTAAGTGGTCGTGTAACAATTTTAACTGTATTACTGTTATTAGGAAAATTTTTGGCAAGGGGTATTACCATAATACTGGTATTTCTGTCTGAAAGTATTTTGTGTAATAACACATCTTGACTAATGGTGATTTGTGGCTTAAACTGTTAAGATTTCAATTCTACTAACAAATTATTGCTTTATGCAAAAGATGTTTGCCCATAAGCAGGATTTATTTTGCCCAGTCTTATGCTAAATCAACAGTTCTCTACATAAACAAATAACTAGAACACATCATTGAGATCAACCTATAAGTATTATGGCCTATTACTGTGATACTGAAGCTTTCCAACTTGCTGCATGCTGAATTTATTGCTACCTATAAACCTCTACAATAATAAACCATAAATATTTAATGGTCTCACATGCTTACCTGGCTCAGACCTCCAAGATCTTTTGGCAGACATTCTCAATTTTCTAAGAATAATATACATATAAAAATGCACATATTCTGATTAGCTCACCCTAAATTAACTTTATTGTTATATATTTTGAAAGGTTGTTTGTGACTACATCCTTCAGAAAATTTGCCTAAATGTCTTTGTATTTTAATGTTTTTCGACATTTCTGAAGTGAATAAAATCACTGAATAACATTTTTCTTAAAGAAAAATTCCAAATTCAAATTAATTTCTTTTCTTTCTGCATTCTGGGATCCTCGTTCGAGGATATGGATAACTTTTTTCAAGTTATTTTTTATTACAGAGCTTCTGTTGTTCCTTTTTGGTTCTTTGTGAGTATTGCTTGAAAGTTGTCCTTGTTTTGCTTTTCTGTGTTCACTTCTCCCACCATGTATGCTCCCAAACTATCCAAAGTTTAAATCCATATATGATATACTTTTGGTGCTCATGTAATAAAGGACTTTCTAAGGAAGGATAAAAGTACGCTTTCCTACAGCAGCAGTGAAGGGTAAGAATATGACAAGGTACCGCTACAATCTTACCCCAAAACAGTGTTCATTATTCAGTAAGACCATCTAATGCCTTATATCTTTTGCATTAAGACACTGAAGGAAATTTTTAGCACAGAGTAACAATGTTCCTATTTTCCCTGTCTATGAGGCGGGAACAACCTTTGCTGCAGAAAAGGACGCACTGTGATACCTACAGCTCTGTCGAATTCATGTAACTTACCGAAAGTGGTTGTTTTCCTGTGCTGTGTAACTAGTGTTCTTGCATCTTGAACCAACATTACAGAAAAGGGTTCGCATGAAAGGATAAAGGCCCCGACCTGGTAAATCACGAGCTTCTAAGTAACCTAAAACCAAGCAGAGGCAGAATCAAGGCCAGTGACATGGCAGTCGCAAGACTGTACCACCACACTGTGTTCCCTTCTCCTAAATAGCATCTTTGTCACCTGAAAGTGATGAAGTTGTATCAATGGTAGGTGTCCCATTTAAGAAAAACTCTGTCACCACAGAAACCACAGAGTAACCTCTATGTCAGACTGTGACAACAGGGTATATATGACATTTAAGAGCGATCTCTGAAAAGCTGAATTTCCTGGTAGTAACACTATTGCAATATCATATACTTGCTAACCCAAAATCGTGTGTGACTTGGAAAAGAATATAGACTTCTTCACAAAACAGTATCTTCTCACAGGCTTTCATAAGATGAAGGAACTGGTATTCAGCAATGTCTGAACATATATCCATTGAGACAGTCTAAACAGCAGCTTTTCCACATCTCTGGAATTATCCACATCTCTCCATAAAGAACATACAGGCTATGTTCTCTCCAGCTATTTCATTGTACAGATCTAGAATTGTTTTACCAAATTGATTTCTAATGTAGCTAAAGATGGTTTATCCCCATTTTACTGACAATGGTGAATAATAGAATAATAAACTGAATAGATTATAATATCATAAGTAACTCTTTTCTAAATGAAGTTAATGTTTTACAAGATAAAAGCAAAAAGAACTTTATAAAGTGGAGTTAGTCATAAGAAGTTTTGAAGTGTTAAAGGAAATGGAAGAATTTATTATTTACAAAATATTAATTCTAAATCCCAGGAAGTATGTAGAGGTAAGGTTCATCTTGTCTAATTGTTAATATCTACCGGAGAATTATCTACCTCTGAACCAGTCATCTAAAATCCATTACTCAATTGAAAGAAATAAATACAACTAAACCCCAAGTAATCCATCTTATATCCAAAATTGATCTCTAAAACTGTTCTGAAAAGTCAGAGCTTAAACTTTGTATCTCTCCCACCTAAAACCAGCTTGCTCAGGTCCACAGCTAGACATGATTGAACCCCACTTTAGGACTCTTTCCAGTGACTCCACTACATTTAAGTCCCCCGTTTTAGGATATCATTAGTACTTGCTAAATCTTTTTACAAGCAGAGGTAACCAAAATAGAACACAGGTAGGTGAAACAAAACATACAGTTTTCCTTGTATTTTGGGGGCTCCTGGAAGCGGATTGCAGCTAGAATCAAGAACAGCACACATGGCCACAGTATTTCAGCGAGAGATAGGACCTGAAAGGGCAAATCAAAACATCATAAGTCTATAGAAAGCAGGATTTGGGAACAAATCACTAAAAATTATATATATTTTAATAATAAAAAAATTAAATATCTCTTTTACAACTACTTAAGGGAAAGTAAGATCATTGAAGTAAATTAATAATAGATACTTCTATTTAAAATCCTTATAACTTTGTGAAATACACTGGTCACAGAATGAAAAAGTAGTTTTCTCTTCTATTTATAGTGTTAGTAGGACACAAACGTCCAAATAGACTGAACAGAAATAAAAAGCACAGAGACCAATTGTCTCTATTTTCAGCAACAGAAACGAAGAAACTGCCATTTAGCCAAGTTTTAAAAGACTTCTAGACTCACTGATAACAGTGTTAGGAAAGTGCAAACAGCAAACTCAGTAACAGAAACACAGTCAAAATGACAGCCAGGTTGAAGATCTCCCATTAGAGGCTGTTAACTTCCCTGAAGCATACTGAGGATTTTATTTCTAAACTGTCAGAGTTGAACCAAATCTCATGGAGGAAGTGATTCCTGAACTTGGGTATGTTGGAAAAATGCCTGAGAACAGTAACATAGTGCTTAAGAACAAAATCCAGTGTCAGAGTCTTCCTCGTGGAGAAGGACTTCTCTGCTGAACATGGGGCAAGGAACTAAAGGTTTCCTGAAATTTAGAGAAATCACCATTTATCTAAACTGATCACACACAATACAGAAGACAACAAAAGAAAAGCAAGGCTGGTGCTTAAAAATTTTTCGGGATCAGCAAGAGCTGACTGCTCCCCAAGGGGCAGGGATCTGTGCATGGCAACACCAGCCAGTGGGGCAAGGGACCCACCCCAGGAACTCCCAAGGGGAGCAGGGCAGGCCCCGCCGTTGCAGCCAGCCTCCACCAGAGTCCAGATCCTCAGTCAATGTCATGGCAGAGGCACGGTCAAGCCAGAAATATAGTGGCCAAGCGCAAGGGCTGAGCTGGAAATCAGTGTTCCTCCGACTTCAGCCAGGTGGGAGCAGAGGGCACAGAAACCTCACTTTGTCTGGATCCTGGGCCCTGGTGAGGCTGCTTATGGCCACTAAAGCTTAGCAGAGCTGCAGGGCCCCAGTGGCATCCTCCCCTCCTTGGCATGTTCATCCCTTGCTGTGGAACAGAGCCATGGCTGTAGGGTATCCATGGGCTGTCTGTGGGGAATGGAGCCAGGTGCAGCAGCTGAGGAAAGGGGCACTGCAGAAGAGATTTGGAGGGAATGTCACCAGGCTGCCCAGGAGGGGCTGGAAAGGGAGCAGGCTGCCCCTGGGGGCACGCACCACCACAGCCAGTGCTGCGGGAAGGTCCCATGAGAAGTTCAGGTGGGGGATCAGGGCAGTGGGAGACCAGAGCTTGGGGGAGCTTATAAAGGGAGGCCCTGGAGAGCCACAGGCTAGGCTCCCTCAGGAAGCTCACCTCAGGGCTCAGGGCAATCCCAGATGGCAGCCAGGACAGAGCACCAGGCAGCTGCTCCCTGAAGGGCAGGGAGCCAGAGGGGATGCTGGGACAGCAGGGCCCTTGTCAGGGAGGGCCTGCCCTGCTGTGCCCGGGCAGGGCAACAAGCTCCGCTGGGAGCCTGGATCGCCAGGTGAACCAGGGCTATGGCTGAGCCAGGAAGCCAGCCTGTAGTGACAGCATTCAGCATCAAACACAGCCCTGCCATCTCTGGCAGAGTCAATGGGAGGATGGGACAGCTAGGACAGAGACTGCTGCGTCTGCTGACAGGAATTTGGGATAAATATAAGAACCGAAAAGGCAGCTGCAGAGGCAACAACAACAGGTTGGAGGACTCAATGAATGATCAGCATGCTGCAGACATTAAGCATGCAAAATTGATCTCAATAGTAAGTTATTTGTGGCATATGTGGGAAAGTAATGCCACTGTATAAGATATATTTGTGCTTGAATGAGAAAAGCATCCACGGAAGGTCCAAAAAGAGGCATTTGTGAGATTGCAGGATTGCAGTCCTTGCACAGCTGCTTTGCCCAGGCACTGGGAGGAACTGGAGTCTGAGAGCTCATGTTATTCTGAGGAGCTGTACCTGGGGGGAATAGTGAGTTTGGGTAATGGAGCCTTAGGGCCCAGCTGATAAAAGCAGACAACTTTGTAATTGTTCACTCAGGGTTTTGGAGGTTTGTGTGTGTATGTGGTTTTTTGTTTTGTTTTAGGTTTTTTTGCAGGGATGCAAAAACATACGTGTACAAAACAGAGGACACTCATCGGTAAGCAGCTCTCAGGGGATGTTTATAACTCTTAAAGTGTGGAAGAAATAAAGGAGTGTAAACTATAAAAGACAGAAGGAGGGCAAAGATGACTCTCGGTGTAGGGGCAGATAAAGAACAAGAATTATACCTGCATTTTCTGCCATGCTTAACATTAATCCAAAATGAAAACTACTACTACTAACAACTTTTTTAAAAAGGCATAGTTTTAGAGTAGGCTATGTTTCTGTTTTGTTCTAATAATCATATCAGTGACTACACACTCCAAGGATTTCACAGCCTGATTTTAAATTCCAAGGGTCCTCTAAATTAGGGTATCAGAACAAGAGAATTTAGGAACCACTTTTCATCCTTTACCTAGATACAAATTTGGATGGTAATAGATTATTTATTATTTATTATAACTACTTAAACAATAGTTAAGAAATGCATAGATAGAAAACTAAAGTAGTACATTTGCCTGGTAGTGTGTATCTCCTGAGCTTCTAAAATCTGTAATTCTGAAGCAAAAGCTTCTGAAACAGAAATGAGAACGTGTCTTCAGCACAACTGCAATTTCAAGCTCCAGCTGATGCCCAAATATACATAATAACTTGTGCTGTCTTTGAACCATGTTAATAGGAGGTGCTGATGCCAATCTGAATTTCATTCAAAACACCTGTTCCTTATAGAAGGCTTATATCTGTCACACACCCTTCACCTTTCACTGTGTAATATCAACTAATGCCACATGATATTCATGACACATTGTTAATTCAACAGAGCTCACTTGTCTTCTAGCCCTAACTACTGATAAATAACCATGAGGAGACTATTGCTTTATACAGACAGTTCTACATGATATGAAACAGAGCTGAAGCACATCAGATCTTTCTCTACTTTTCAGATTCACAAGGGTCTGACCTGCCCTTTGCACAGGTGGATGATCCACCTGGATTTCTCCTCAGGTAACTGCAGATGGAACACCTTCACAGCTCAATGGTTGCACAACAGGCACATAAGGAGGGTTTGCAAGTTCCCCCAGGGCAGGTCTTGGCTCTCAACAGGTAGAATTAAGTTTGCTTTGGGTTTGCAATTCTTGGTTTGGAGAAGTCTGCATCTCAGTGAGCTCTCTATTCAGGAAAGCTACCAATTAGGCAAACTTAAAACTTACATGAGGGAAAACTACACAGAAGAAGACAATAGATCCACATGGAGGAGAGCAGGAGATACTGAGGAGCCAATTGATGCGCACTAATTGAACATACAGAAGTGTTTAGAAATGAAGAAGAATATGATCAACAGCATCCTTCCCCAAAAAAAGTCTTTTATATTAAAAGACATCACTTGTAATAATTTGGTGAAGAAATTTTCTCTAAATCACAATTTTATTTAACATAAATATTTCTGGAACTAAAAACTGTGTGTTTACTTAATTGAGATAATCTTATCCAAACAGCCAACATGCTTCATTGTAAAGCCCCAGATCATCACAGACAAGTGAAATCAATGTCAAACTATTAACTGAAGTGACTCTTTTTTTCCCCCAAAAAATGTTGTTTCACTTGAGAAAATTCACTTCCTTCTGTCTTAAATTAAAAAAATCATTTCAATCACAGTAAAGGTGAATGACATCTCATATTTAGGTATCATTTTAACTTTGATTGCTGTAGAAGTGGCTGTCACATTCTTCAGCATATTGGAATTTGAAAAGTTCAATTAAGCTTTGTAGAGTGGACAAAAAAGGAAATTTAGAAGTATATGCAATTTTAATGCTCATTCCCTGCATTCCCTGTATCTAGATTTTGATCACAGTCATGCAAGCTTTCTTATATTACCAATGAGTACCTGTAAGGTGAAGAAAATTGATTTTCACCCTTGCCACTACTACCATCACTGCTAGTATCTAATGTTAATTAAAAGATAAGCTGTAGCTCTTAGAAACTTCTATGAGATTTTCTATCACATTTGCAAAGCATTGCTGTATTCAGCCATTTTAGAACTAAAACAACCCATTGTTATTCTCTACTTGTATTTTCAACAATTAGATGACCAAAGGCAAAACAAGAACCACTTGCAGCCACCCTGTCCATAGCAATCTGCAGTAAAAAGGGAAAATTGAAAGATACACTTTTTCCAACAGATACTAAAAGATTTAAAATATTCCTTTTTTAATCATTCTCAAGCACTCACCGGTTGCCTCACACGGCAGAGCCAATTTTTCCAAAACAGAGCCTTGAATTGGTGTACAATGTGCCCCATATTCTCTTTTCTTTCCTTCATCCACTTGCTGAGTGGCTTCTTAGGGACTTTCTAACTCAGAATCATCTCACAAAGCAGTCCAAACGTATTATTCAGAAGCTGATTAATTCCAGCACTAGAGAATAGTGCAAGAGATTTGCCTGCTTCCTGAGAAAAGATGAGATTATGTTTCTGCCTCTTGTTTTTCATTCGTTGAGGAATCTCATCTTTCCGTTTGCTTCTCAGTGCAATGAACAGTAAGGGGACGGGTTTGTATAAATGCCCTCGGGGTGCTTTACTCCAGCATACATTCGGCACTTGTTTCGACTTTTCTGGAATAAAATAAATGCAAATGACAGGGGGGAAAAAAGAATATGTAACATACATTTGTCTTTTTCTAAAGTTGGATGACTTTCTGTCACTTCAGTGTTTATGTCACTTTGTTTGCATATGCTTAGATTTTGGAAAAAAAAAAAAGAACAGTAGAAAAATAAGCACACTGTTTAACCACATAGTCCTAAAAATGTCAGTATGCTTCTTGAACACCCTTATGAGTACACATCTAGCACTGTAGTGGACCCATTGCATCATCATATGACTGTTGAATTTTTTCTTGTAAAGGATGTACGTTTGACATTCTCTTTCTCCACTATACAAAACCTACATAGAGGCAGAATATTCTGACAAGTCGGAAAACTATGTTAATTAACTGCCAGATGCCACCCAGGATGAAAATCAGTTTTATAGCAGCAGTTCCTTTAGCAAAGACGATGGTGGGCTATTCCTGGAGCTGTGTGAGGGGATCTTCAGGAGGGGAGCCTATGCAGATCTGTGGTAGCAGGGCCACTGGGAGACACAGCAGGAGTTTGATGGTGCAGAGGATGGCTACCTTACCCATCAGGAGTGCCATTGTGAACAGAGCAGTAAACTTTCTGTATGTTTTGCTCTACTCAAATGAATTACCTGAGGTAGAATCTGATGCCCAAAAGTTCTCTCTGTGGTCAGTAGAGACACCTAACACAGCCATTATAGAAGGTAATTCAGACTGCCTAGAATCTGAATCATGAATCACACAGACATAGGACAGCATGATGCCTGAACAAATATTTTTTATTTGTCATTATTGACAAGTAAATTGCATCATTACACTTTTTGCAAAATGTATTACTATTGAATGAAAGACACATCTTACATTCACAGCTGTTTTTCCACATTAAGAGTAAAATCCCCCCAAAATGTAAAAAGTTTTTGGATACAGAGACACCACAGAGTAATTCAACCTCCATAAACCAAGGCAGCAATTTAAAAAGTTAATAAATCTGATATTTCTGCAATGAACAACTGCACATCTGCAGGTCTATTGAGTTATGCCGGTTTCCATATAGGATGAGGATCAGCTAGTGTCCAGTGCCTTAGCTTGCCTTTCCCAAGCTCTGGGTTTGGGTCACCCAGCAGCAGTTTTTGGCCCTCCAGAGCGCATTGACAAGTTTTGTTACTCCACTTCATGGTAAACTGACTGATTAGTCTGTTAAAATCTTTGTATTTGAAATGGTGCAAGCTACTGTTTTAATTTTTACCTTTGCAATGGGTTCAAGGAGTAGAGAAAAAACAGACTAAGTAGATGTCATGAATTCATAAATTTTTACATATTGGTCAAAATCATCTCCTAGCAAAGCAGAAATCACAGATGCAGCCATGGCAGAACACAACTAGTTAAACACCTTTATTCCTCAAATATGGTGGGATTTCCTTTTATTCTCTTTACTCTGAGACTGAAAAAAATACTGAAGTAATCATTTAGCTTTAAATAGAAATGTGAAAGTCCTCAGGACATACTAAAAAACTAAGTAGTTTAGTGTTTACCTGACTGTTGTTAAGCATATCTGTACCTCTCAGGCAGGATTAATTAATACCTCACCAAGGAGTTCCACTTCACACCTGGAAGGCACTTCTGCTTTTAGTCAAGTAATACTAAAATCTCTGCTATTTCAGAGTATGGACAGTAATTTTTCTCACTAGGATCAAAGGCAAAATTCTGAGATAGCTTGGATGAAAATTCTGCACACAGTTGAAGTATGCATTTTTAAACAAATATTTTTCAATAACTGCAATTGAAATGTGTGTTTTAATTTGTGTGGTTTCACACAGCCTTTATGGAAAGCTGGGAAGAAGAATCTATAGCATGTGATTTGAAGAAAATTATAAACTACTCAACATAATGAATTACAAAAAGTTACTTGACAAAGCAACTGATATGGAAGAGAGTTCCTGACTGTGTGAGCCAAAACAGCTCACATGAACCGTTTGCCAAATGGTTTTGAACGAGTCATTCTGCAAAATCTCTGCTCATCTGACTGTGTGATCTGTAAAATTTATTACGCTCTATATAATTACATACTCATAAATGTGGTATTCTATTTTTAAATGCTAAACAGCTTTTCATGGATAGAGGAAACAATTATTTTGTATTGAATTAGTGTTCAGTACTAATGAACTACTGACTCCTCATTTTACTATATAAAGCACTCAACAAACACCTTTCACCATTCAGTTCTGTTGACTTCATCTGTCCTCCTATCTCATAGTCCTTTCCTATAGAAATTCCTTCTTGCCTAGTATGGTGTCCTCCAGTAGCAGACTCGTTTTTTCTAGAACAAAATTTAGGAAAGTAAAAGGTACCCCATGAACATTCCACCAAGAACAATCCCTGCACTGACATTCTGAGACATTACTTCTAAAAGTTGTATGAGCTTGATTGTATTATTTTCAATGTCATAGAAATATGACAATTATTGAATCAAATGATCACCACCTGCCTCACTCCCTCGCCAAACCAAACTCTTGGCACAGAAAACATGTTAATAATAAAAATAATGCACATAGGCAGGAAAAGTAAATAGGCTGGGAATATTTTTGGAGAGATGTGTCACCACCTGTATTGCTGCCATCCTGGAAGCTCATTTGAATGCCCTAGGTTTCATCAGTACAGCATCAAGCAGTATCCTGTGCAAGTACCAGCCTTAAATAGCTATATTAACTATATAATTATTTCATTATAAGGAACAGCTAATAGCTATATTAACTTTATGTTTTCAGAGCTTATTAACAGAGTGTCTGTAATCAACAGCAGCATCTTGAATATTGCAGGGCAAATTAGAAAGGGATTTCATCATGTGCTCCACTCCTTATGGAATGAAAAAAAACCAAACAGGGTCAGAATTGGATCCTACAGTAAGGAAAAGACAGAGTGACCTGCCCTTTTCTGCTTTTGCTTAGCTTTGGCAGGCTTTGTCTCAGTTTTAACTTAAAACTTTACTCTTATAATATGCAAGTTATTCAAAACCACTGGTGCAGAAAAGGCAGAAAACCTCCTGCAAGCATTCAGCTCTGGTTTTAAAACTTGACTGCATCATAATAGCATACCATCAACACTTCACGTCTAGCCTACAGTTTTAATACAATGTAATTAGAGTAGGCTGGCAAGCGCATTCAAAGAAACATAATTTCATGTGTTAAATAGGTTAAAGCCCAGGAGCCAAAAATACTGTTTGGTAGACAGGAATGCAGTCAAATCATGTGAGAATATGGATGGAAATCTGGCAAACTAGCCTATTTTCCTATCACCACCCACCATTTCTTTCACAAGGTTTATTGAGTGATCACAAGGCTTTTACTCTAACATTAATAGGAGTACTACTTGTAGTACTCCCAGACCTGTGTCCCAGACAAAGTGTCTGCAGGTTGACATCAATAGTAGCATCTTTCCTTGGAGACACTTCCTGGGTGCAAAGTTAGGGCATGATGAAAAATGTTAGTTGTGGGCAAGGTTAAATAATAAGGCTGATTAAAATGGAGCTACATGTTAACCAACTAAACAGACCCAATCTCTCAAAGGAGGATGGTGGTTTGTTTGAGCTTCTGGGAAGCACTAGGAATTTTACTCTTGTAAAATGACATACAAATACTATGCCATTAAATTGAAAATTTTTCTCATAGTTATAAGCTCAGCACCAACAAGAAGCATCTGGAATCAGGTTTCTGTGTTGTGAAAACAGACTCTGTCTTTTGCTGCTGCTTCACTTTGTTTGTAGCCTGAGCAAAAGCACTGTCCCTGTCAGCATTACTCTTTCTTCCATTATTGTACCATGGAGTTTCAGATTTAACGTTGCTCTGTTCAGTGACCTCCTTTCTCTTCAAGCAGAAGATTTTTTGAACTGCAATTTTATCCATACTCTGGAGTATAATATTTAATGGCAATTATTTTAAAGATAAAACATGCATTTTAGTCACTCAAAGACTGATAAACTTTCAGGGAAACCAAACCTCAGCATCTTGTATCAAACTGTAACAGTGTCATCAAATCACACTGCTGTGCTTTTTTCTACTCAGTTGTTGTGTGCAGATTCAGTTCCCAAAGCCCAGTTTGCTGCTTGCACTACTGTGCACTGCAGTCAGAATATAGCTGGCTGCTGATGGGCAGGTCTGAAAGCATTCACCTGTCACTTGTCAATGGAAATGAAAAACATCCCTGATTCAACCATATAAGTATTTTATTTAGGAATATATATTGAGATCCAGACTTGAGATGAAAACCCAGTTCCGTAACACAATTCACTGAAATATCTTTTCAAGGAATAATGTTAAAAAAAAAAAAAGAAATATATTTTCCATAAATACTGAAATTACTGAATTATTTTGCTTGGGTTTTTAAAGGACAGTTAAGAAAATTTGTAGTTCAACCATTCTGGACATAGGTCATTCCAAAATAATCCTTTTCAGGATTTCTCATACCTTCCATTAAAGAAAAATGCAAAAGTAAAATGCCAGAAGTAAAAATCTACTCCTTCAAGTCACTAACTGAATTACTGCACTTTCTCAGTCTCTTGCAAATGTGAAACCACTGCATTATAGCATGTCTTCATTATAGTCTCAGGCATTTCTTTAACAAAATGGTAGGAATGGGTCAGAACACCATGAATCACAGAACAAACCATTGGTAGAAACCACTGTTTCCTCCCTTCACTCTTCCACCCTATTTG